TTTTTCTTCTCTTATGTTCAGTCTAATCCCCATAACCTGGACAGAGAATGAGAGGAATTCTCCTCCACATTAATAAAATCCTGACACTCTGCTAGAAAATATGCCCTCATTAGAAAGAATTACCCTTCACTTCTTGTTCTGTCTGCTACCTATCAAATATACAGAAAGTTTAGAGATTTTCTCCCATTTTCTGTCTTCCCAGGAAGTGCAAGAAAGATGCCCTCATTTTGTGTGCAGACTCCGTGACATCCCCTTATCTCTGCACACTTGTATGTTGAAGCTATTTGCTGGATTCTATGTTCACAGCATCCCTCACTACACCCTGGACACACATTAGTATTCACATCCAGGACTCAGGTAAGATCAATCCATAGCACACTGATTAAAACTGTAGCATCATATAATGCTGATTGTACTATGTTGAGTATACTTTGTTTCTGTCTGTCATTCACATTGAGATATGAGAACTCATGCAGAGAAATAGTTTGCCATTTCCTAGTTATGAAGTTGCTGTATCTCTGTTTTACACTAAGCTGCAACAATACGAAGCATCTATATAGAAAATGACTGCTTCTACTTGCATGCAATATGCATAGATACATCTGTAGCACATGAGGTGTCAGGTGGAAGCTGTGTAGTTTCTAGTTTGGTGTGGGACTGTTTACTCAGCCTATGCTTTAAAGACATAAGGAATGCCACCTTTTAGATGATGCGACAGTTTTCATTATATGTGCAAAAAAAATCAATTTGGGAAGTTATGAAACACATCTATTATATCAAAGAAATGAATAGATAAATAGTGCTGTGCTACTCACTAAACCTAACCATAAAGCAAAAAGTAAACACCTGACAGAGCCCTTAACTAAGGTGATATATGTGCACATATGAACAAATCAATAAGTGAAACATCAACATATGTGCAAATAGACAATCTGAGTGATATATATTAAGGCATAAATAACAATAATAATAATGATTGATATATATTTATATATATTTATTAGACAAAGTACACAAAATAAAAAGGAAACGTTGAATAATAAACACCCGGCTGAGTCCTCAACCCAGTGACAGTCTGTAAATAAATGTCCATAAATGTAGTAAAAATCAAGATCTGTAATGCAGATAGGCCAAATGCGCTTTAAAAAATATCAACTCGAAATCCAACCAGCTCTCCTCTGTAAGCCTTTATTTTACTGGCTCCTTCTCCAATTGCTCATCAGAAATCCATTTTCAAAAAAACATCAAAGGACATCTCATAGTGTAATATGTCCATGTTTAATGTATAAAGACCAGGTATAGAATTCTCAACTTTAAAATCAGGCCAGCAGACCCATACAAGCATTAGTAATAAAATACATAGGAACAGGTGTACCAAGATGGCAGCCGCCATCTGACCAGAAATGATGTCAGCACACTTCCTTCCAATAGCTATTGCCACAGAAGGTTTGAAGTTTGCACTGCGTTGAAGGAGCATTTTGACAGGGAAGGCCAGGATTTCCTGGATTGCATCATTACATGTGACGAAACCTGGGCACATCATTTCACTGTAGAATCAAAACGAGCATCAAAACAGTGGAAGCATGCAGACTCACCACCACCAAAAATTTTTTATAAAATTGCGTCTGCAGGTAAAGTGATGGCAAGTGTTTTCTGGGACAAATGTAGTGTTATTCAACGCTAATGACGAAGTGAAGCAGGCTGTCCTAGGATGGTTCAGGCTTACTGACAAATCTTTCCAAGCCGAAGCTTTCCAGGCATTAGTTAAACATAGCAGAGGAGTATGTCGAAAAATAAATGCAGTTTCCACTACTTGAAATTTGTTTTTTTTTATTATATAAACTCAAAAGTCCCGGTTTGACTTAAAATTCTTGATTTATTTGGAAACTGCTATATTTTTGATTGGCATTAATATTATTACATATTGTGTAAACTTTGCTTTAATGTAATCTAATGCTGTATGTGATAACTTGTTTTTGGATCTCATTTGGAGATATCAAATTACCCCTTTCCTTTCATGCTAGAAATGAAAATTACATTGTAAGTCTTAATTGACAAAATCATTTTTCTCCACCCTTAAATACCTGCGCCTCAAGATACCTATCTAATCCCCAACAGTAACAATACAGGCTGATAGAGGCTTTTCACATTCCAAATAAATAAAACAAGCTTTGATTGGAGTTATGGTTTTGAAAAAAACAAAAATTCATGAAGGAATTAAAAAAAACAAATAACACATCCTGTACCACAACATATTTCTTAGCTGACAGTGTTGGGGTTGGGGCAGGAACAGTATGGCCCCCACTGACTTCCAATGATTTTAAAGTAGGGTGGGCATAGACACCCAATAATTACTGGTGCCTAATTATGAACAATATGCAGAAACATGTTATACTTAGAGGTCTAAACAGCCCTGTTAGAAAATATAGAAAGGATTTGATCTAGACTATCTAGACTGGAGCGCTTTAATTTAGCCAGAAGTGGCAATTTAAAAAGACAAGAGAACACAGTGCAATATGTTGGGTGAAAAGGGTTATGTAGTGGGTCAGGTTGCACAGTAATGTGATGTTTGGTCATGGTCACATTGTGATGCTAATTAAGTTAATTGTACTGGTCACATGGAATTAATCCCATAGATCCACATGAAAAGAAATTGCATTAAATCACATTACCCTGCAGTGAGTGGAATTAAATTGAAAAGAACAGCTGCACAGAGAAACACAAGAGCAGAAGGCCAAAGAAACATAAGACTGATCATAAACATTAGTTGTATCATTTCAAAAATGAGTGCTAAAGGTGTAGGAGAATAAAAACATGGGAAGTGTATAACACACTTATCTGACAGACAGTATACAATTAATTACACCGTGACATGGAAAGGTAGTCAGAGCCAAACAGAAATGTTTCGTACTACAATAATTTATTGTTGGACACACCTATGTAGCTGGATCTGTGGCAGACTTGGCTAAATGTATACAGGTGCCCATTCACAATAGATAGCTGTCACCCATGATCATCTAAGGCCTATTGATGGAGTGACCAGCCAGGATACCAAAGCTTATCCAATTTGAATTCCACAGAATGTACTAGCCAGTACAAATTTCTAAATGCTCTTAGGCTTAGACCCTGCTGGCATGGTCAACTGCCCTCTAGAGTCAGTAAGCTCACATGATGCTGTGATTTTAGTAAGAACTGCATTATTTATTTGCATGTTGTCTTAGCCTTTAATTTTCTGTTCTATACACAAACAAGACCTGAAAAAGGACATATACAGGTTCCTGAACTTTGGGCTTACTCTGACTGCTTCACAACCCTTAGCACCCAGGAAATGTGCACTCATATCTTCAAATTACCTTCAGACCCCATATTTTTATAAATATTCCTTTATTAAAATAGAAGTAGGGCTTTTTTTCCCTATATATATTTACCTGGGTGGATGCAGCATCGGTCCAATGCTGCATCTGTCCCCTGCCAGCTTTATGAGTGAGAACTCACCACCGCTCGAAGCAGACAGCGGGACTGTCAGTCACCGCTCTCTGCTCAGCCCTCCAACCCTCACTGGAGCTCTAGGCTGTGGAGGGGGAGGGAGCAGCTGGCTCAGGCTCTCAGGGCTTATAAAGAGGAGGTATTGATCATGCTTATAATACTTTGATGAAAACACGTATTATTAAGATGATGTGATTTTTTTTATCCCTCTATTCCAGGTAACATAATCTATTACAACCCCCTTTGCAGGGGGAAATAGGATAAAATCAGAAAGTAGTAATTGGCAAGATAAGCAGCTATGTCAGATGTGGCTTTAAAATTACTTGTATTCCTGTGTTTAGCACTTACAGTACTCCTGCCTTTACAGCAAGCAATTCTATTTGTTTAGCTCACAAGAAGACACTGGAGCACCCTATATGTGGCATAGATGTGCGCAGTGCAGTGGCTAAATAGTTAGCACTCCTGCCTGGCAGTACAAGGGATGTTGGTTCAAATCCCAACTACAGCACCACCTGCATGGAGTTTGCATGTTCTCCATGTGCCTGTGTGGGTTTCCTAAATTACCCCTAGTATGTGTATGAATGTGAGTTAGGGCCCTTAGATTGTACACCCCATGAGGGTTAGGGACTGATGTGAATGTACAATATATATGTAAAGCACTGCATAAATTGCCAGCACTATATAAGTACCTGTAATAAATAATACAGTGTAATAGTAAATTATAGATTCATCAATGACTTCACAGAGATGGCATCTGCATAACCCATTTGAGCATAGCTGGCCTAAAGTTAATGAATAAAGTGATCCTATTCCTGTATTCCTTATTTAATAGCAGATAAATTGATCTCATAAATCAAAAGAAGGCACACTTAAACAAGACTAATTAAATGTGACTAACTACAACTAGCCATACCATGACTTGGATAAATGAGAACCTTCACAGACATAAGACACCCTCATGTTTCTGCACATACCCATCTGTGGCCCTGGGGGTGTTTGCTTTGAAAGATGTGGCTTGATATCTCCCATCCAAACACCTCCCTGTTGGATATTTAGGCCACTCTTTATGTGAAGGATCTATAGGTAGCTGAAGTAAGTAAGGTTGGCAGGGAATGAGGTCAGACCTTGACTTTCTAACCAAATTTTTAAATTTGTTGATCTGATCCAACATTGTGCCCCTGAAAAAAAATAGTAAAAAATCAAGGAGAAGAGGTCAAAGGTGATAACTACCCTATAAATTTAGTCTGATAAAATTGTAGCCCAATCTTCTTTACAGGTCTGTTTCTGCATGAGTACACGCAGCTCTGAATTGTATTTACATCTTTCTTGCTGATCTTTTTCCCACGGTGGAACAATATTCAAAGAACATGAAGCAACAAGTATTGTGAATTTAAGTAATTAAGTAAATAAGTGAAGCAAAAGGCAGATTAAATTCTTTATTGTACATAAGGACAAGTCACAGAATACAGGGTCTTGGACTCTATATCATGTAGAAGTAGATTAGTGCATTAGTTTTACTCATTCAACGTTTTCTGTAAAGTAAAAGAAAAAGCAAGATAAGTATATTCATCAGTGTTTCCTTAAATACCTACTATCTTAATATATTTAAGGCTGAACTAAGTGTAAAATAAAAAAATACGAGCAGGCACGCTTTTTATTTCAGGAGAGACACGCAATATCTTCTGCAATAAAACAAACCTACTCGCCTATAGTGGTGTGAACCTCCTGCGCTTAAGCTACCAAATGAGTACAAATATTCGCAGAAAAGCTGCTAACATCTAATCATATACCAATGATCATATACATGCAATATAGAAAAACTGATGTAGCGCTACTCACATACACATTATTAACGTATTTTCATTGGTATAGTCAAAGAAATGAAGACTTAATTTGTAGTGACACAATGTGTAAATAATACCATGTGATAGGATCCTAATGTGGTCTATACCAAATAACTAAATCGTGCTGTGATCCTATTGGATCAACAAGTGAAAGAAAGGTGAAACAAGGGTTTTGGGTGCTCATGATTAGTGGTCTGCTTCCGTCAGGATAGCCCAGGTTGTTGCTCCTCGTGGGTCATTTTTGGATGGCCTGAGGGACGTGCCGATATTGGCACACACCCCATACCTTTACCTGGGGAGGAAGCCACCACCGTTGCGCATACCCCAGAGTGGGAGACCATTTGCGGAGAGAGGTCCGAGCAGCAGAGGAATCATATGCTTGGAGGATCTGATGCTGTGATCCCAAATATGCTTTGATCCTTACGGGTCGAAGTTATAAGATGAGAGGCCAATCTTGCCACTTTTGGATCTTGGTCGTGGTTACCCACAGTCACCATACACAGGCACGAGTGATTATTTGGTTTTGGATTAAGTGGTGCGGTTAGCACCGCTCTGGACTTTGGTTCACAGATTTGCCGTCTATTATTTCTTAGTGAGCGGTTCGCCGCAGAATTGAAATTGTGTCACACGGACTTTTTTCACTTTGCATGTTTTTTTCACTATTGTTTTTGTACTATTGTGTATTTTGTATATATATTTTTTTCCTTTGGAGTTGCAATTTTGTTGATAGTTGCACTACTGGATATATGATCAGTTAACTGAAATCGCATCTTTAATGCATGTTTGTTAGTCTTGCATGTTTATGCATCTATATCTTAAGTTGAGTCCACATTGATATAGACTCACCACTTTTAAGTCCCAGTTGGACTATTATCCACCGTCACTGTTTTATCCTGCTTAGGATATATTCACTTAGTTCATTTATTATATGGTCTCAGATTTTATGTAGATGTGCATTGTTTCACCTTTCTTTCACTTATTGATCCAATAGGACGATTTAGTTATTTGGTATAGACCACATTAGAAATCTACTTGCCTGCTCACAGTCTTCTTTCAAATGTACATTGAGCTTTGCATGCCTGTGTGCCGGGATGCCTGAACTCCTGTGAATATGCGGGAGTGACATCATCCCAGCCAATGAAGATGGCTAGAAGTCTGGCACCTGAAAGAAGCGAAGAAGATGCCAGCGTGGGACCTAGCAGGTTGTGGACTATTTAAGTAAGTATTGCGAACTTTAGTCTCACTTTGATTTGTCTATGTTGGTTTTGCTGCCTTTTTTCTGATGTGTCTTTCTAATCAATACTTGCACCTATAAAATTTTATACCAACTTCAATTATACAGTATGTTTATACACTTAGTGACATACAAGGTGTCTGTATTTCCCACAGTAACTATCCTGAACTCAGCTGCTGGTATTCCAAAGCAGGTTTAAATTGAAGTAATCGATATACTTTTTTTAAAGCTCAAATTAAGCTTTATATACTATTATTGGTATGCAGCCAGGCTGCATAACACCATAAAAAATTGTGTTATTTTTAAAAATTTTTAACAGAACTATGTAAAATACCCAGTGCCAGCAGCATGCTAGAGAGTCAGATTGCTGTTCAACACAGAACACAGTTGTCTGACATACTCTTCTCTCAGTTCTCCAATGAGCAGCACTGCTTACTGGAGCACCAGGCGGGAAAGGCATGTTGGAATATCGGAGACCCAGACACTCTGAGCAGAAATCTGGCTCCCTAGCATGCAGATAACACAGGATAGTTCAACCCTTGCTGTAGAAAAGAGTATTTGTAAAATATGAAAAAAACTAATTATAAGTTATGCAGCCTGACATTGCAGTAATAACAAAGGAAGGGTTACTTGGGCTTTTACTGTGGGCAACACAGATATTTCCTATGTAATATAATAAGGCACATGTATTGTCTTCTGATGTACTGTTTTTGCATGATTCTCCCACCTTTCTCCTGCTCATTATTACTCTCAGCCCACATTGCCCCATGGGAGCACTAACCTTGGTGCTGACATCTCTGCTCTTGGCCCTCAGTTTGTTCACTTGAGACTCTGCAATATCTGCTCGCTCTTCAGCCTCATCCAGCTCATGCTGAACCTTACGGAACTTTGAAAGGTTTGTGTTGGATTGCTCCTCCTACAGATTTAAAAAAAAAATAAACATGATGTAACTGAAGTTACAAGGGCAAATGTAAAAATTTCTAAGGAGGACAAACCTAACAAAAATTATTGAGTTGAAATTGCTTGTACTGTATGCAATGTTAACATGTACATCTTACATCACCTTAAAAAGAAATTTGTAGCAGAACTGCTCTGCTTACGAAAGTAACCATGTGTGAAGTGCCTAACTGAATAAAAGCCTGTGTTTAAATCCCGCAAAACCAGTCTTCTCCTAATCTAATACGTTCTATCATGCCCCAGCAGCAGATGAGGGAGAAGATGATTTTTTGTTAGGATGGCATTATAGAAAGCTCTAGTCAAGCACATTATACATGTGGCCAAAAGTTCTACAATAGTCCAGTTAGTATGACCTTACTGAATATAGAATGTTGTATCACCCAGTTATATGCGGTAAAACCTTTTTTTGAAAACATGCTAAATTATTTTTTTTAAAATAACTTTTGATGATTCCATGCACCTATTCCTTCATAATAATATGTGAAAGAAAAGCCAACTAAGCGAAAATACTTACAGCCTCCTCTGCCTGTCTCTTATATGCCTTCACTTTGAGCTGTAACTTGTCAACCAGGTCCTGAAGACGAGCTAAGTTCTTTCTATCCTCTTCAGTCTGGTAAAGGAAGAGAATTTAAAAGAGAATGGCGGTGAATGATACAGAAGAGACAAGAAGAAGCACAGGTACTGTCACTGATGTATTAAAAAACAGTTGTTAAAGTGCTATAAATACTTACAATAGCAGGGTCTAGCTGCAATTTTAATGGGGAATTTTAACCCATATTTTCCCACCTTTGCATGTCCCAGAACCTTCTTTTGCATTTCCATTATATATCATTTGAGCAGGGAGAATGTGACCCCTCATGATAGTCACAGCATGTGTGCAGAGTCAGGAGCTTAAGAAAAGAGACCTTACCAATCACAGTACATATTTATCCCCAAGAGTTCTCCACCATATACCAAAATACCAAACTTAAGCAATTTGACTCTATAACACTTTGTGAGTTATTACTTCAACTTCTTTGTACAAGCATGAGAGCTTTTCATGATTGGAAACCCATGCTTTTGTCCCCACAGGAGAGTCTTTTTCTCTTCAGTCCTCATCTAATACATCAGCCATCCAAGTGGTGTGAACTGGTTGTCTGTCTCTATGGGTGAACCAGGTAGGTAGTCTGTGCTTTTTCTGCAGTATATAAACGTCCTAATGTTTGCATCTTATCAACAAAGGTTTATATACACAAGGTATGGATGAAGGAAGATGTAGGAAAAAGTGTGCATTTTCGTTTGTAAATTTGGTCCAGTGTTAAAATCATTTAGGACATAGATACACTCTTTGAAAAAAAACTTGAACATGTTAACCACAAATAAAGACCCAATTCAATTAGGGAACTGCTGTGCTATCTAGGAATCAGTCAGGGAGCATAGGCATTATTAATTAGAGCACTGTGCAAGGGGAATATCAAAATACTACACTCTGTACGAGAGCAGCAGTCCAACTCTCCGGTGTGCTGTCAACCCAGGACAGCTTTAACCACTTGCCCTCCAGAGGATTTACCCCCCTTCCTGACCAGGCCTTTTTTTGCAATACGGCACTGTGTTACTTTAACTGACAATTGCATGGTCATGCAAGTCTGCACCCAAATGAAATTTACATCTTTTTTTCCCCACAAATAAAGCTTTCTTTTGGTGGTATTTGATCATCTGTGCGTTTTTTTATTTTTTGAGCTATAAACAAAAAAGACTGACAATTAAAAAAAAAAAACCTATATTTGTTTTACTTTTTGCTATTAAACATGTCTAGTAAAAAACTTTAAAACATCAAATTTCATCATAAATTTAGGACAAAATGTATTCTGCTACATGTCTTTGCTAAAAAAAAAAATCCTAATACGTGTAAATTAATTGGTTTACGTGAAAGTTATAGCGTCTACAAATGGCGGTGTATATACTGGAATGTTTTTTGTATTTTTTTTTTTACTAGTAACAGCGGCGATCAGCGACTTATAGCGGGACTGCGGGACTGCAGCGGGCATTCTGACACTGAGGGGAACTGATTTAGTGTCACTGACATCCCCAGTGACACCAATACAGTGATCAGTGCTAATAAAAAGCACTGACAGTGTACTAATGTCACTGGGCAGGAAGGGGTTAAAATCTGGGGCCATCAAAAGGTTAACTGTGTGCTGTTTTACTATGTGGGCTGTGTGTGTGTTTCACTGTAAGTACACTGCTTTGTATGGCTCTGCTAAGCAGTCTGCAGGAGCTGAAAGGGGAGAGATCTGTGTTGTTTATACACAGGTCTCTCCCCCGTTGGTAATACTTGGCGATCACCCAGTCATTGACAGCCGAGGCCGTGAATGGGGGCCCAGAAATGCAAAATCACACATATATATATATATATATATATATATATTCACATGCTTTTGCGCACCTGTGCCGCCCTGTAGCAGTATTTCTGCTATAGGGCGTCATGGAACTGGTTAAGAGTTGTAAGCACACATCTGCCATATTCTCCACTTCAGTGACTGTAAATGATTCTAAGATGTTGGATAGTGGCATTGTCAGTCTGGGGGGAGTGGAGTGTTAGATGTACTAGCAGATTGAAATACACCAATAAATTGAAGCCAAACTTCAGCAAACACTTTATAAACAGTAACTGAATACATTTGTGTTCCCTTTTTGGATAAAGGTTTCACATGAAAAAATAAATACTGATCATTATAAGCACCCCTGTCTGTGTTAAATGGTTTGGCTCGTCCCTGTAACTGCAAAAGAGCTTGTTCTTTGAAAAACATCAGACATACTGGCTGGATCACCAGAATAAAATAGAAGAAATAAACCATAAAAAAGAATATAGCCATCACATCTAAGAGTTGGCGAGCTGCAATATAATAAATGTTTCCATTTGGGTTTAATACTGCTTTCACATTGAACATAATTATACTATACTTAGTGCACGTGTTCTGCACCTGGTAGGTGAGTTCTTTAATTCTCCTTTCATACTTCCTCACGCCCTTCACAGACTCTGCATTGCGTTTTTGTTCAGCCTCCAATTCATTGTCCAGTTCCCGAACTCGAGCCTCCAGTTTCTGCAGCTGCTTCTTACCACCTTTCATAGCAATTTGCTCAGCCTCATCTAGACGTTGCTGGAGATCTTTGATTGTTTGCTCCATGTTCTTCTTCATCCTTTCCAGGTGGGCACTTGTGTCCTGCTCTTTCTTCAGCTCTTCTGCCATCATAGCAGCCTGTAATGAAAAGATTTTATGTACAATATAATATATTGGTTTTTTTTTAGCAAGTTTATGTTACAGCATGACCATGCTTACACCTAGATAACTTTACAGTAGTCTTATTGACTCTAAAGCGTATGTACATGCACATACACACGTGCACTCAACTACATTTTCCAAAGTACACACATCTGTAATAGCTTTCTTCGCCTTCTCTTCTGCATTACGGCACTCCTGCACTGCTTCCTCCACTTCTGTTTGCAGCTGAGACAAGTCAGATTCCATTTTCTTCTTCTGATTGATCAAACTGGTGTTCTGTGTCAAACAGTAAAGACATAATTAGACACTTGAAAGTAACATAGATAGCAGCACTGAAATGAGAAACTGCATTTTCTAAATATCAGGAGAGCCACTGATCAAACTATTGTTAGGAAGACAAAAGGCATGGAGCACTCCATTTATAGAAACAACTGTGCATCTAAATATGGAACAAAAATACATTTATAGGTCATTGTATTCAAAGAAGTGACCCTTATTTTCAGCAAACGAACTACTGCAGCCACCTGACCTGTGAGTGGAGGAGTTGTACTCTTTCACTGGTCTCTATGAGTTCCTGTTCTGCAAGCTTTCGTGCTCTTTCAGTCTGTTCTGCCAGAGACCGCAGTTCCTCCAGCTCAGCCTGGAGTAATGTGTTTCTCCTCTCTACAATTGCAATGTTCTCCTTCAAGTCCTCACTGGCTCTTAATGCATCATCCAGTTGGATTTGAGTGTCCTGTAACATTACAAACATAAAAAAGCAATAGTTCAAACCTACCATTTCCATACAATAAAGTATATTAAGCTTCATTAGAATATAAAGCAGGGACCTTCTGAAACCTGTAGGTATCTTTCAATGTCCTAGAGTACCTCGTCACCCACAAAACCCACTGTGCTCTGATAAGCAGTTGACAGTTTTCTTGGTATATCTATTGGATAATATCTATCACATTTTATTACTAATAGTGAGGTGAAAACAATTGGCCAACCAACAACATTCCTGCTCAAAGATGGTATTTACATAGCACATCACAGGTTTTTGGTGCCCCGAGCAAGCACTAAATGCCTGGTTTACTTTCAGGTTGCAGCCTTTTACATTATATTGTACTAACATAATTTATAACATTTTATCTCATAACATTATTTCATCTTTTTACTACTGATAATTGGTTTCAAATATTACTTAATATGAAAATATTAGAGAAAGGATAAAAACTGGCAGAGGATAAGGTATATAATCAGAAATCAATATAATTATATATGCAGTAAATATTTAATTTTCATACTAATTTTAAAAAACACATATTTGACTATTATTGATGATAGTATTTATTTCCATTTCCATTAGTGTAAGGTGAAGAGTTTAGGTATCCACCTGATAAAACCATAGGCTTTTCTTATTACCTTTAGGTAGCTTTGGAGACTCTTTACTTGTTTTTGAGCTTCAACTGCCTGACGATTAGCCTGGCTTAGCTGGACCTCCATCTCATTTAAATCTCCTTCCATCTTCTTCTTGATCCTTAAGGCCTCATTACGGCTCCTGGTTTCAGCCTCTAGTGATGTCTGTAGTGATTCCATCACTCTTTGGTGGTTTTCTTTTGGCCTGCTCCAGTTTCTTCATCTTTTTCAGCCAACTTGCGCTCAAAGTCTGCCTTGACTTGGTGCAGCTCCAACTGGGCATGTAGAATCTTACCTTCCTCATGTTCAAGGGAGGCCTGTAAAGGATTTCAAGAGACTATAGCTAATCGAACAAAGCAGTGCTACAAAAACAATAGCATGTAGGTGATATACTATTGAAATATATCCAATAAAGCTGGACTTAAAAATTACTTAAATTGAACAGCTGATTGCTTTGTACCCATTTTAATCTTTCAGAAATTTTGCTAGTAAACTAAGAGATTTAAAGTGGTTGTAAACCTTAGACATGAAATATGAACAATGCATATCGTTCTATAGTGTGTGCTTGTCTCAATCCAGAGCACAAGCGTAATTTCTCTCTGCTGCTTCGTTCCTTAGCTATAAGCATGAGTTACTTCTGACAATTTTTCCTGACTCCAAGAAAAAAATGGTGACGGGGAGGGCACAGTCTGTGATCAACAGCCTCAGCTCTGTTCATGTGTGATGTGTGTCTCTTCCCTCCAATCAGCTCTCAGAGCTCTCTTCACTGATCTAACTTCATTCCCAGCCCCCCCACCCCCCGCTTTTCAGAGCTAGGAGATCCTGTGTAAAATCTTCACTTTGACTGGGTTTAAGGGAAAGACGGCTGTAGATAGACATGTACAACTTATTTAGGAGGATTTGTTTCATCTCTGTGTATCATCTGAGGCCAGCCACTTCACTGGGTATATGTAAGGGTTTACAACCACTTTAACCGCCTCCCGCCCACCATATAGTCCAATGACAGACGCAAGGTGGTTCTCTCGTTCTGGGAGGACGTCATATGACGTCCTCCCATTCTAACCGCGCATGCGTGGCTCTGGGAGCACGCAGCACGGCGATCGGCAGTGCGCTGTGTCCCTAGGACACAGCGGATCACCAATCCATGGAAAGAGCCGAAGATGTCAGCTCGGTCATGTGATCAGCTGTGTCCAATCACAGCTGATCACATGTAAACAGGGAAATGCCGGTTATCAGCATTTTCTCTCCTCACGAGCTGTCACGCTGACAGCTCGTGGGGAGAGGAAAGCCGGTAATCTGCTTTCCGCAGAGGGGACATGTGCACTGATCATCCGGGCACTGATGATCAGTGTGCCCTGATGAGCAATCTAGCCCCAGCAGTGCCATCTGTCAGTGTCCATCAGTGCCAGCTCTCAGTGCTCATCCATGTCACCTGCCAGTGCCCATCAGTGCACATCAATGCCACATATCAGTGCCCATCTGAGCTGCCTTTCAGTGTCACCCATCAGTGCCAGTCAGTGCCACCTATCAATGCCAGTCAGTGCTACCTATCAGTGCCAGTCAGTGACGCCTATCAGTGTGCATCAGTGCCGCCTATCAGTGCCCGTCAGTGCTGCCTATCAGTACCCATCATTGCTCATCAGTGTGCCCTGATGAGCAATGTAGCCCCAGCAGTGCCATCTGTCAGTGTCCATCAGTGCCAGCTCTCAGTACTCATCCATGTCACCTGCCAGTGCCCATCAGTGCCACATCAATGCCACATTTCAGTGCCTACTAGTGCACATCAATGCTACATATCAGTGCCCATCTGAGCTGCCTTTCAGTGTCACCCATCAGTGCCAGTCAGTGCCACCTATCAATGCCAGTCAGTGCCACCTATCAGTGCTACCAATCAGTGCCACCTATCAGTGCCAGTCAGTGACGCCTATCAGTGTGCATCAGTGCATTCTATCAGTGCCCGTCAGTGCTGCCTATCAGTGCCACCTAACAGTGCCAGTCAGTGCCGCCTATCATTGCCATATGAGTGCTGCCTTTCAGTGCCCATCAGTGATGCCTGTAAATGCCCATCGGTGCCACCTACCTGTGCCTCCTCATCAGTGCCCATCAGTGCCACCTATCAGTGTCCAGCAGTGCAGCCTATCAGTGCCCATCAGTGCAGCCTCATTAGCGCACATCAGTGAAGGAGAAAAATCACTTATTTACAAAATTTTATAACAAAAACTAAGAAAAAAACGTTTTTTTTTTTTTTTTCAAACTTTTCTGTGGTTTTTGCTTTGTTTAAGAAAAAATAAAAAACCCAGAGGTGATTAAATACCACCAAAATAAAGCTCCATCTGTCACAAAAAAATGATAAAAATTTCATATGGGTACAGTGTTGCATGACCGCGCAATTGTCATTCAAAGTATGACAGCGCTGAAAGCTGGAAGTTGGCCTGGGCAGGAAGGGGGTATAAGTGCCCTGTAGGCTAGTGGTTAAAGGATAAGTTTATTTTTGGGAACATTACATGTTCCACCCGTTTTTAGAGTGGAACATGTAACATGTTCTCAATGCTGCAGCCACCGCCCGATCCCCCCCTCCCTGTGACAGCAGTACAGGGAGAAGTTCCCCGTACAGGCTCTAACTTTTTGAATAGAGCACGGCTACGTCATTCATTCACAGAGTCTCAACAGCCATAGCAGCTGTCAGCTTGTAGTTTTCAATGAACTACCACGGTGCTGTGGAATGCCATGGTAGTTCATTGATTCTTCTTGTCAGTATAACTGCTTGCCCATACATCCCGTACAGGCAAGCAGATATAATGACAGATCTGCAGGAGAGCTGCATGGCACCAGTGATCTGCTGATCGCTGGTGTAATAGTTTATGGCTCCTGCAACCAAAAATAATAAATGCAAATTTTTTTTTACCTGCAAAAAAACCCCAATTATTATATACTGCCTTTATCATTTAGTGAGATGTTGTAAAACTAAAAAAAAAGGAAAGAGACTGCAGGCACCGTCTGTCCCAAGGGGAACTATAGTGATCAGCTGAAAAAAATCCATCCCAATCAATGGATTTTACCCCAGGTAGGTCCAAGTAGGGTATATTGGCCGCAGAGGAGCCACACATATATAAACATTCCCTGACCCAACTGTGAAGGCTAACATTCTCTAAAGTCTGCAGCCATCTTTAGTAAAGAGGGTTCAGTTGTGTCAGCTCACCTCAGCTTCCTCTAGTGCAGACTGTATCTCCATCTTCTCCTGTTCCAGTTGCTTCCGTATCTTCTCCAGCTCATGAATGCTCTTTCCACTCTCTCCTAGCTGTTCTGTGAGGTCTGAGATTTCCTCTATGTTTATACAAAATAAAAACATTCCTAATCAGTGCCTTGATAGCCCAAATGTTCAGCATAATGTATGATACTAGCAATGTTCTCCTAATGTGGAACATATATGGATTTCTTTCTTAGTTTTGACTGAATACTAATTAATATCGAATATACCATAAGCTGGAAATTCTGCTGTTTACATTATGATATGCATACTATTCATATTTTCTCACCCTGAAGATTTTTATTCTCTCTTTTGAAAGTCTCCAAATGTTCCAAAGATTCCTCATAGGCATTCTTCAACTTAAATAGTTCAGTACTCAGGGACCGTGCATCTTTCTGGGATGACTCCAGTTCTGTCTGGGATTCCTCAAATTTCTGCTTCCACTCAGCTAGAACCTGAGAACAGAATTATATTGAGTATTAATTCAGTCTGTGTGGTTGTTACAAAGAATTTGCTACAATATTCCGCCTATGAGTACCTTGTCAAAATTCCTTTGCTTCTTGTCCAGTGCAGCAGCTGCAGCATTTGACCTTTCCAAATCAACCATCAGATCCTCAATTTCATTTTGCAAACGGTGTTTAGTTTTTTCCAGAGAGGAACACTTGGCATTAACAGCTTCTACACCTTCTTCTGCTTCCTGCAACCTCTGTGCCAGTTTCTTCCTGAAAAATGTCAGGAGCGATATAATAAATTATACAGCAAAGGTTTATATATAACTCAAATGTTTCTTCAGGAATATCAGTTTCTGTTAATGCAATTAATTATGGCAATCTTACTTTGCTTCCTCCAGTTCTTCGGTCCTTTGGATGGCATCTGTCTCATACTTTGTTCTCCACTGAGCTACCTCTGAGTTGGCTTTAGACAGAGCTCTTTGAAGCTCTGCCTTAGCCTCTTGTTCTTCTTCAAACTGTTCCCGTAGGAGATCACTGTCGTGACGGGCAGACTGCAGGGCATGTGCTAGGGCATTTTTGGCCTGATGGTAAATTAGGCAGATTGGGTTAAACTTATAAAGATTTCACAATTTAGTGAAAAGTTAGTATTGTGCCTCTATACGCTATTTTTTTTAATTTTGATCACATGTACCTTGGTCTCTTCTTCCAGCTGCCTCTTGAGATCTTCCAACTGCTGGGTGTAAGTCTGCTTGCCACGAGTCATCTGTGACACAAGTGACTCCTTTTCATCAAGTCTACGTGATAGCTCACCTGTAAAAATTATTATATTGATTTTAAGAATTATTATGCTCATTGTCAGAGTCTCAGAAATGTGCAATAATAAGAATAGTGAAAACTTCCCATTTGTTCTAAAGTGGTAAATTATTAAGAAGTAATAGCATTTCCAGGTAAGGAACAAAGATAATACCATTTTCAGTCTGCAGTTTGGCACGCAGGGTGGACAGCTCATTAACAGTTCTTTGGTTCTCCTCAGCCTTAGTCCGATGCTCACTGACTTGGTCTTCTAAGGTACGGCATAACTTCTCTAAGTTAGCCTGCCAACAGAAACTTAATTTTGAAACATAAAAATTGAAGGTAGAGCTACAAAAAGAAAACAATTAGCATATATAAAATAGCTGCAAAACCCTTACTTGTTGAACTTACTGCATCTGCAGTAGTGAACATTTTTATAACTATAAAGTGTTATAGTGCCTTATAGCATCTCTCTGTCAATAGAAAAATAACTGCATGTTGGCATGCTGGTATAGAAGAAATTCAGCCACATCTTTTTTTGCAACAATTTAGCCAAATCTAGGCTCCCTAAAAAATGCAGACCAGGAAAGGCAGAAAATTATTATTTTCATACTTCTATAATTCAAAAGAGAAGTATGGCAAAAGCTTTTTGGACATACTCCCGAGGATCACAGGAGTGCACTTATGTTTGCTCTCCTCTGACACAGAATCAGCTGATAGCAATCTATTGCCCACTATAAGGTATAAACTATAACTATGAGCACTTGAAGGGCAGAGCTGATCTCAGTTACTATGCTCTGATCTGAGCAGATCAAAAACTATGATCAGCGGTCATGTGAACACTCTCTCGGAACTGGAGCCAACATGAAACAGCTGCTGCAGCACCACACTAGTGCTCTAGGATAGAGGTGAATATGTGTGTTTGTTTTTTATTAACCCCAAACTTATCCTTTAGGGCTCGTTCACACTAGGCTGTTTTGCCAACGCTTGCCAAACTCCCCTATAGCGTTTGGCAAGCGTTGGTCCGGTGTTTGCGGAGCGTTTTTAACGCTCGGCAAACGCTCCGCAAACGCCGCATGCGCGGTTTAGCGGCAGTTGCTAGGCGTTTGCCGAGCGTTAATAACGCCCCACAAACGCCTATAATGCATTTGAGTGGTGTTACCGAGTGGTGTTACCGCTCCGCAACCGCGTCGCAACCGCACCGCAAACACCGGCCGGGCGTTTGCGGAGCGGCACCATAGACGAGAATAGGAGGCTTCAAAGCCTCCTGACTCGACCAGAGGCGTCCGTTTTGCCGCGACGCGACGCAAACGCTCCTGTTAGAACAGCACCATGTGCTGTAATGTGCAGAGTTGGCAGAGGCGTTTGGGAAGCGGTAAAAACGCTTCCCAAACGCCTCTCTGCCGCCTGCACACAAGGCTAGTGTGAACGTAGCCTTAAAGTATTAATGCAAAAGCCAGTAAACTAGCATTTTTCCATCAATATGCAGCTGCACACCATGCAGTGACTACATCTTCATAAACTAGTATTGATTTATTTGACTCTGAATGAGTGTAAATTAGGGCTGATTTACTAAAGGCAGATAGACTGTTCACCTTGCAAGAAAATGTTTACTTTGCACAGGAATGTTCCCTTAGCCTAGTGATTGTGTTGAAAATTCCCAAATCGCATGCAAGAAAAATAAAATAAGAAGTATTTTTGCTTGCACATTACTGGATGGTGGAAGTCAGCAGAGGTCCACCTCATCTTTTAAGCCAAGGAAAAATTCCCTTGAAATATGCAAATTTACTTGGAAGCTAAGAAGTCTATTAGCCTTTAATAAATTATCTCTTTCTTGTTGAATATCCTGGTGGGTTAAGTGACAACTTGAATTCAGACTACTATGACTATGCGTCACATAGGAGAGCTTCTTAGATGATTTCTCACCCTTGCTTTTACCAACTGCTCCATGTTGGATGCTACATCATCGAGTTCCAGTTTAATTTCACTCTTTTCTTTTTCCAGTTTCTGTTTGACTCTCTGTAGATTGTCTATCTGCTCACTGAGCTCTGCCACGGAATCGGAATGTTTCTTCCGTAGAGTAGCAGCAATGGCCTCCGATTGCAGAGTGGACTCTTCCAAATCCCTCCGCAGTTTAAGGAACTCAGCCTCCCTCTTCTTGTTGAGCTCCAGTTGTACTGTAGTGGCTCCCCCAGCTTCTTCTAAACGCTCACTGATCTCTTCCAGCTCTCTTGATAGATCAGAGCGAAGCTTTTCTATCTTTGCTCGAGCTGTTCTTTCTGCTTCCAATTCCTCCTCCAATTCCTCAATACGGGCCTTAATGAAATAAGTTTAAATATTAAATATTTTACCTCAACATGTTGATGATCAGATACATTAAAATTAATGTAGTATTCTTACACAACATTACCAGATTAAAACAGAAAACTTTCAAAACAAAGGTAAAAATGTTTTATTGATCTAATTTGTCCCCCCCCCCAAGCTGATGCTAATATCAGAATCACTATACATACCTGAAGCTCTTTCATCTTCTTCTGGAGCTGAGTACATACATTCTGTTCATCCTCAATTCTTGTATTAAGTTGGCTGATTTCAAAATCTTTTCTGTAATATGTTAAAAAACAAACATATAAGTCCTATTCAGAACACAAGAGTGCAGTTATAGTTTAATATATATCTGCATCACTGTAATCATAGAGGGATCCTTGTTCCAAAACAATCCAGTGAATATTGTAGATCATTTTTATTATTTTACACCATATTTAATCACTTACTTCTTCAGTTTTTCTTCCAGTTGCTGCTTGTCATTTTCCAGATCCATCAGACTTTCCTGACTCAATTTCAGATCTCCTTCAAGTTTCCTTTTTACCCTTTCCAGGTCCATTCGTATTTTCTTCTCCTGCTCTAATGATCCTTCCAGCTGTATAGACCACAAAAAGATTTAGAACATTTCCAGATAAATATATTCCTTAATATCATTCTGCGTGTGTCACTTACATCATCAACCTGTTGCTCTAGTTTTGCTTTGGCTTTAGTCAACACGTTGACTTTGTCCTCTTCAGCCTGAAGGTCATCCAGTGTTTGCTGGTGAGCCTCCTGCAGAGCCTTTTTCTCTTTTGTTAATTTTGCAATAATCTCATCCAAGCCAGCCAGCTCCTCAGTGAGATTCTTGACCTGTAAAAATAGCAAAAAAATTCAGTACATAAAAACATGCTAAAGGATACAAGATGAAAAAAAAAATGACCATATAAAATGAGTTCACCTTGTTCTCTGTGGCATGTTTCTCCTTTTCCACTTTGGCTAGTGTCAGCTCCAAATCATCAATATCCTTTTTCAGCTCAGAACATTCATCTTCTAGTTTCCGCTTCTTTGCTGTCAATTCTGCATTCATCTCCTCCTCATCTTCTAGACGTTCCGTCTGTTCCTTCAGCTTTGCTTCTAGTTGGATTTTGTTTTTGATCAGTTGTTCACACCTCTCCTCAGCATCTGCTAGGTTATCTTGTTCCTGAGGTTTTTTTAAAATGAAAATCTTTATAAATCCACTCCTTCCTGGGGTTCCAGTTCTCTAAAGTTAATGTCAGGGAACATCGCGATGCATGGGTCTACACAGGCGTAGGTGTCTGCCAAGACGTGTAGGTGGCAGGGCACTAGGACCCAGGCGCACCCGTCGTCTTGACAGTACTAGGCAGGCACTAGGACCTAGGCTGCGCCTGTCAGGTGCAGGGCGGGCTATTTAAGCCAGCTCTGCACAAACACTGTTGCCGAATGGTCTTTGTATGCTGTTACCTGTGTTGTGAGTATCTTGATCTGGATTGTTTGACCTTGCTGCCTTCTCCTGTCCTGACCCTTGGCCTGCCTGACTCTGCTCCTGGATGTTCCCCTTTAAATCTGATCTTTTGGTATTGACCCTGCGTGTGACCCGACTATCCTTTGCCTACCGTTTTGTACCTCACCGACCCGCTAGTTACCGACCCGGCCTGTATGACTCTGATTTAGCTCATACATCCATCCCGCAGGGATCACTAGGCTCCCTCACATCAGACTCTTAGCCCCCTGGAGCTCCTTTCAGACTCCTCTACCCTCTGTTGGAGATACCTAGCAGCTGCGACCTGGTACCGGAGCGCTCCAAGTCCATCCCTACCATCAGGGGCCCTGGTGAACAAGTGCTCTGGTGCTTAGACTCCGCACTCTGGGGAGGCTCTGCCAGGGGATTGATAGAGGTGCTGTCAGGCGGTCCATTACAGTTAAATTTATTTGTGATGACCTTTATCATTGCTTTATTAACCTTCGCTGTAAAATATGTTATAGGAGATTAAAAATATAGACCTATTTTAAATAGATTCACCTGCTTTAGTATAGCAAGAAGTTAAATTGTGTACTCACAGCTTGCACTTGAAGCTGAAGATCATTCTTTTCCTGCAGTAAAGAGACCATCTTTTCTTCAAGATCTTTGCGACGTGCCTCCGACTTCTCCAGAGCTTCTTTCAGCTTCTGGAACTCTTCTTTCATGCTCTGCATCTCTTTCTCTGTTTCTGCACTCTTAAGCAGGGGCTTGATCTTGAAGTAAAGTTTCATCCATGGCCAGTTTTTGACTCCCATGAATGCTCGAATGTTCCACTGGATCACCAAGAGGGCATCTCTGGCAAAAATTAAAGCAGCAATTCACAAATGTTTTGTTTAAAACTTTGTGATTTCTTCATTTTGTAAAACCTTATCTCATGAGGCTAGCCATAATTGCTATTCATGCATACATTTCTTTGTGTCTCTTGGGAGGTAAAGTACCGCAAAAAAAACATGGATTCAGCACATGATTTATAAAGTATACATTAATAAATCATAAACCTATGTGAAAAGATACCATACCCTGCGCTCCAAAATCTTCTTAAATTCTATTCTGGATAAGACACCTCTGGACTGGGCCTGGATACGGGTGATAATTCTAGAAAGTCTTTCATCTCTCATCTCTTCAAGTTGACCCAACAATCCAGCCTTGAAAAAAAACCTGAAAAAATAATGCTTTAAAGTGAACCCACACCCAGACAGTGCACAATAAAGTATATACAGTACATACTCTGAATAAGGAGATAAAACATTTAAAAAAAATTCCCCATCCAGCTCTGTAGCAATATGCAATGTGGAGAATTAATCTCTGAGTTTCTCAATAGGGATACTGAAATCTCAGCTATTTTGACAGCCTGCCAGCTTTCTAATGTAAACACACAGCAGGGGCCTCTAAGCTGTTAAGTCCGATACACACATACTGAAAGTTAGCTGGTTCAGCAGGAAATGGACGACATTTGGTAGATGTACACTGTTGTCTAATGACTGGCTTCTGTTGAACAAACTTGCTGGAAAACCAGATCCCTGCACCACACATTGTTGTGTTGATGTGGGGATCTGTCAGTTTTTTTTCATTCAACTGGTTGAATGAAAAAAAAAAAACTGAACTATACACCCAGCTTTAGAAAATGACTGACAATTGCCTTTAGAGTCTGTGTTGTCATCTTAAAAAGAATATTACAAAAGCAGTTAGAGAGGTTGACCAGGGCTTTTAAAACGCTTAATGCTTGTATATGTAAATACTTTCACGTCCATTGTCTGGCCACAGGTGCATTTAAAATGTATTACTATAAGACTTTGTCAAAGGTTTTCAGCCTATTGTGCATTTTTCTGGCTTATGACAAAATTGTAAGCGTACATGCATTACCTTGGTGTGTCCGAATTTATACTGAGTATGATCAATCTCCAATGAGGCCAGAAGCTTCTCAGCCCCTTTCCTGCTGTCTATAAACTGTCCTTCTGGGATAGCTGCAGGGTTTAGGATTCGGTAGCTGGTAAACAAGGGAGGACAAAGAAAAAAACATATAGCAAAGAAATTACATTATATTACTATTTTATCACTGCATCCAACACACGGCATACATCTTTATCTCACACCTACCGCTGCCTGAAGTCTCCATACAGGATGCGATTGGGGAATCCCTTTCTGCAAATTCTGATACCTTCCAGCACACCATTACAACGTAGCTGATGCATCACTAAACGGTTATCCATCACCCCTGTGAAGAAAAGATACATTTATAAATGCTTAGGCTTGCATATACTGTATATTCATACCTTAGAACAGGGATTCATGTATGTTAGAAATACATTTTTTATTATGTGATCATTAACAGCTGAGGCATGGCTAAGCAGTGAAAAACGTCAGAAAAAAAAGATAAATTAATAAATTGAATTGATTAATGACAAGAGCTACATAACCTACAGGTGAAACTTGAAAAATTAGAATATCGTGCAAAAGTTCATTTATTTCAGTAATGCAACTTAAAAGGTGAAACTAATATATGAGATAGACTCATTACATGCAAAGCAAGATAGTTCAAGCCGTGATTTGTCATAATTGTGATGATTATGGCTTACAGCTCATGAAAACCCCAAATCCACAATCTCAGAAAATTAGAATTTTACATGCAATCAATAAAACAAGGATTGTACATAGAACAATATCGGACCTCTGAAAAGTATAAGCATGCATATGTACTCAGTACTTGGTTTGGGCCCCTTTTGCAGCAATTACTGCCTCAATGCGGCGTGGCATGGAAGCTATCAGCCTGTGGCACTGCTGAGGTGTTAAGGAAGACCAGGATGCTTCAATAGCGGCCTTCAGCTCTTCTGCATTGTTCGGTCTCATGTCTCTCATCTTTCTCTTGGCAATGCCCCACAGATTCTCTATGGGGTTCAGGTCAGGCGAGTTTGCTGGCCAATCAAGCACAGTAATCCCACGGTCATTGAACCAGGTTTTGGTGCTTTTGGCAGTGTGGGCAGGTTCCAAGTCCTGCTGGAAAATGAAGTCAGCATCCCCATAAAGCTAATCTGCGGCAGGAAGCATGAAGTGCTCCAAAATCTCCTGGTAGACGGCTGCGTTGACCCTGGCCTTAATGAAGCACAGTGGACCAACACCAGCAGATGACATGGCTCCCCAAATAAACACAGACTGTGGAAACTTCACACTGGACAAGCATCTTGCAGTGTGTGCCTCTCCATTCTTCCTCCATACTTTGGGTCCTTGGTTTCCAAATGAGATGCAAAAGTTGCTCTCATCAGAAAAGAGGACTTTGGACCACTGAGCAACAGACCAGGTCTGTTTTTCTTTAGCCCAGGTAAAACGCTTCTGACGTTGTTTGTTGTTCAGGAGTGGGTTGACAAGAGGAATACGACATTTGAAGCCCATGTCCAGGATCCGTCTGTGTGTGCTGGCTCTTGATGCACTGACTCCAGCCTCAGTCCACTCCTTGTGAAAGTCCCCAACACTTTTGAATGGCCTTTTCCTGACAATCCTCTCCAGGCTGCGGTCATCCCTGCTGCTTGTGCCCCTTTTTCTTCCACACTTTTCCCTTCCACACAACTTTCTATTAATGTGCTTTGATACAGCACTGTGGGAACATCCAACTTCTTTTGCAATTACCTTTTGAGGCTTTCCCTCCTTATGGAGGGTGTCAATGATGGTTTTCTGCACAACTGTCAGGTCAGCAGTCTTTCTCATGATTGTGATTCCTACTAAACCAGACTGAGAGACCATTAAAAGGCTCAGGAACCCTTTGCAGGTGTTATGGCTTAATTAGCTGATTAGAGTGGGACACTTTGAGCCTAGGATATTGCACCTTTTCACAATATTCTAATTTTCTGAGATTGTGGATTTGGGGTTTTCATGAACTGTAAGCCATAATCATCACAATTATGACAAATCACGGCTTGAACTATATTGCTTTGCATGTAATGAGTCATTTTCATATATTAGTTTCACCTTTTAAGTTGCATTACTGAAATAAATGAACTTTTGCACGATATTCTAAATTTTTGAGTTTCACCTGTATATGCAATAACATAAATTTAACATGAAACAGCCATTAGCTTTAGGTGAAATGAACATGTCATGGTTCTCTGCACTCAACCAAATTGTTTGTACCCATTTTGATGATACTGAGCAGGATTGTATCCTCTGAAAGTTGTATACTTACATCTTTGAGTAATGCATACTGTATGTTCTTGAAGAATCATGAAGATTTCAGTGCATATACAGTTTCTTTTTTAGTTTTAGTGATTCTTGTTAAAAAGAAGTTGCTCAGGCCAGTGACAACAATAGCATTGCCAAAAAACCATGGGTAGCAGTGAACGTCTGCCATGCATAATCTGCAGTTTTATGTGGAGATAATCTTTTGGTTTATTTCAGTCTTGACACAAAATCAGTTGATTAATTTAAAAATGAAGTAATTACTGATTACAACAAATATACTAAAACAGGGTTTTTAAGTTTCCACCAAGCCCCATTATAAAAAAGTAAAATTTTGCTTGTTGCCACATAGGAACTGTAGAGACAATGTAATGATTTATTTTTGTGAAATTTCCATAGTTAACTGTGCAGATGTAGACTGTAAACTATGGCATTATGAAAAATGTGAACTTTCCTAGTAATACCCAATGAATTTGTACAAATGCCTGTATTTAGTATGTTAGAATGAAATAGACAAAACATAATATGTTTATTAATTAAAAGGCCTGTGTTACAGTATCAAACTTGCTATAATAGTGAAGTATAGATGCAATAAAAAGACCAATCTATTTATTATTATTTATCTATTATAATGATATAATTATATAATCTATGATGCATTCAAAACACATACACACATACACTAATATACACACAATGTTTGTGTTTTCTCTTTTATATAATATTTGCACACTTTTATTCACACAGAAAATATCAAGTAGGAAGCCTTAAAGTATAACTAAAGACAAAACTTTTTTTTTTAGATTGGAGAGAGTGGAGATGAATTAGAACGCCTATCAGGTTTTTACTGCTGACTGTGTCCCCTTTAGGGAGATTCACCATCTCTGTTTGCCTGTGTACCAACATTGAAAGTGAAATTGAAAATAAAAGAAAATCCCAAATTGTGGGTTGTTCCAAGAACAGTAAACGAGAGGAAATCTTCTAATGAGGACACTAGTTCTGGTGACCTGAGGGGCCCCAAGAGACTCTTAATTTACAGGGATTTCCTCTCACTTCCTGTTTTAGCTATGAGACTGAAAATGAAGGGAATCTCCCCAATAGGACACAGATGGTAAAAAAATGACAAGTTATAACTCTCCCTTACTCTATCCAAAATAAAAAAAAAAAGTTTTGCCTATAGTTCTACTTTAAGATTCTCTTAGGGTGTTTTTATACTTTCTCAATATTACCTGGAGCCTTGGTTTCATTGGGGATGATGCAACGAACAAAATGAGGATGTGTAGATCGAAGATTGGTCATTAGCTTGTTCAAATTTTCCTGGAGATTGGAGAAGTGTCAGAAGTATAGAAATATCGAATAGAAGAGCAAGTAAACCAGGTTAGAGTAAACTTTTTGACTCACCGTACCTCCCAAAGTGGCTCTAAATCGTTAGCACAGGTATTTCCAGGTTATTCCCTGGGATCCTTGGAATCTCTAACTCACAAACTGCTATTTCTTCCTGTCTCCCCATTAGCCACCAAATGTAACTTTTTGCCTCCCTGCCCAATTACCATATACCAGAATAGGGAGGCTGGAGTACAACCATACCAACTCTAATTTTTCTATACTTATTAGGGCACCTTGGATTTGGAGGATCCTGAGACACTCTACAAATAATCTGTAAATATCTACCAGTTTCTCTAAGGGCCTGAGACCCCTTTAACAGTAAGGTGAGCCCACTTATTTCAAAGGAAAAACAATAAGGACATTTAGAGGTAAAAATTAAAAGTGTCATTGTCCAAAGTAACTGAATCTCTGTGTTTGTGTCATGACCTGTGACAAAAAAGCCACCTTGTGCCGCTATGGAAAAATTACATCATTTCCTTTTAACAAGCTTTGTGATTCAGTCCATGCCATTAAGTCCCCACCACCCTGCTGGACACCATCATTGAGTACCTTGGTAAGCCCTATTACCTTGATGAGCCCTATTATTCCCTCCATCTGTTCACTTTTGTCCCCCCCACCTGCTCAGTACAATTGTTCTCCCCTATTCCCCCCCCCTGCAAAACACCATTGCCCCCCATCCCCACCCCTCAAGCCGTAATGTTACCTCTTCACCCCCTCTGAGCAAACAATGCCAACCAACTCGCCTTACTAACACAAATGCATCTTTTTACTTTTTCACCGACCACCAACATCGGAGCATTTTTCCTCCTAAGGACATTACCACTGGGCATATTTTTTATCCCACTAACAACTGACTTCAGCAAAATTTTTATGGGATATGCTTTATAGTAGAAAGTAAAAAATATTGCTTTTCTTCACCATTTTTGGTCTTTTTTTGTTTATAGTGCAAAAATAAAAAACCCAGTGGTGATCAAATACCACCAAACGAAAGCATGACCGCACAATTGTCAGTTAAAGTAATGCAGTGCCAAAAAGCAAAAAATGGCCTGGTTGTGAAGGGGGGGTAAATCTTCCAGAGGTCAGGTGGTTATGCTGTACTGTACAAAAGACATAAAAACATTTCCATTGATCCCTATAGCAACTTTATGGTCGGAAGTCATATAACCTATCTGTATGTTTTTAGGATGTAGAAGGAAACCAAGAAAACCCACTTAAACTTGGGGATACCAACAAATGAATCCAATACCCTGCAATGTAATGGAAGAGGATTACCATTACCACCATTTTTAGATCTGAAATTGCATAATTTCAGGCTAAAGAGAGGTACTGATCTGAGACCAGCATCAGGAACACAGAGAAAGACTGCCTTTTCCAACCTTCTGAAAATGAAGGCTACCTGGTTATATCTTGCTGCAGTAATTTTCTGGTTTACAGACCTTTAACAAGTATACAATGAGTAACCCATATACATGATTTTTTTTCTTGTTCAACCAGTGGGTTGAAAAAAAAAAATTAGATTTCCCCATCAACACATTTGAGGTGGATCGTGGAAACCTCTCACTGTGCCTTTGTATTCAGGCAATGAAGAGACTTCCCCGCTGTCAAAATACACTGATCAGCACTGCCAGTTATATTGGAAATTTTATAATAGGGCAATTGTACAAATGTTGATCAGTAGTTTGACTTCTGTACAACCACCCTGCCCATACAGTGATCGAATTTGGGCCGGTCCCTGCTGAAGTGGTCAATTTCGATGCATTTATGGCTGGATTAAAGTTGTTGATCAGTGACACAAAGTACCTACTAACTGGGCAGCACAGTGGCTGAATGGTTAGTACTTCTGCCTCACAGTACTAGGGTTACTGGTTTGAAACCCAACCACGGCACCACCTGCCTGGAGTTTGCATGTTCTCCCTGTGCTTTTGTGGGTTTCCTCCAGATACTCTGGTTTCCTCCCACACTCCAAAGATACGCTGGTAGATTAATTGGCTCCTGTCTAAATTGTTCCTAGTATATGTATATATGAATGTGAGTCAGGGACTTTAGATTGTACACCCCTTGAGGGTTAGGGACTGATGTGAATGTACAATGTATATGTAAAGTGCTGTGTAAATTGACAGTGCTATACCTGTAATAAATACATACTAACACTACAATCAGCATGACAGTCAAGCAATGATCATTTTCAGAATGAGGTCATCAATAACAGGCCACATATTTCACTCAGCCTATTCAACTGATAATTACCGGTATGTGACTGAGACCTATGTAAAAAAATAAAACATGGAGATATAAACACTAGACTACAGGACTACAATATAGTTAAATGGTTACAATCCAGTCATAAGTGATTGCTGTTCAAGACAAAAAGCTATTTTATGAGCAAGTTGAGCTGATGAATGTTTAGCTGTAAATAGTAACTGAAAAAGAAACATTCTGACATGAATATGATATGAATGCAGAGGACCCTGTATGATAAGTGCAGTCTATATAGAATAAATGAAAAGCCTGGGAAATCATAACTACCCCTTACCCTGTGCAGAGCTGACACTGTCTGGAACGAGGAGCCTTTCTTCTTACTGCCTTTACCCTTGGTAGCTTGATCTACATGGGAAAAACACCAAAGAAGCCTATCAGAAAAGAGTAGCTGAATATAAGCAAATAATATTCTGCGATATAATGCCATGTTGCATGTTTTGTACCAGTTTTGCTATATAGTTCAATACTGTGTGTAGAAATTAATTTATCAGTGCATATCAGCACAAGGCAGATTTAGTGTACATGGATATTAAGACATCATACAAGCCCTGGCAATAGAGATGAGCTTGGGCATCTTCCAAACTCATCTCTACCCAAACGTTCTCTTTAAGTCCAATCAGCTGCTGACAGGGTCATTCCCTGCTCTGCAGCACACATTAAACAAAGGGGCAGGATCCTGGTGACATCAGCGCATTGACATTGATTAAATACGGGCATGCGTCCATATAATGGTGCTGACATCACCATGATTCTGCCACTTTGTTTAGGTGTGCTGCGGGGCAGGGAGTGACCTGGTCTGCAGCTGATTAAACTAAAAAATAGTGCAAAGTGAAAGTTGAGTTTGGACAAAGCCCAAGTTCATTTCTACCTGACAACATAAAGCTTCCTTTACTGCAGCTCAAGCAAAGCTATGCTATCTTTATTTCTGGAGATATTAAATGCTAATGGAATAAAGTGTACGTGGGCACTGATGAACAAATATTGGTGGACACGGATAGAATAAATACTATTGGTTGTTATTCTGTACATGCCATACACATGTCCTGTAGACCTTTTTTAACAAAAGTGATAAATATTATCAAATATTATGAATAAAAAATAAATCCTCTTAAAAACATTGTTTCACCCATTATGGCTATACCAATATACTAATAAAAATAACCATAAACCATAACAGTAATTGTATCGGAAATTAGAGTCATTAGTAATTGAAATAATATCCTCCACCAAGTGTAGTAGAGTGCATAAAGGAAGGTTCACCACATAAATCCTTTTCAAGAGAAGTCTCTATGATAAAACTTGAAATCAAGTTGATCCACTCCAACACCACCATGTGTTTCCTGTGAGACACTCCCATCAGGGGTGGACTGACAACTCATGGGGCCCCCGGGCAATAGGGCAGTAAAGGAAGCTTTATGTTGTCAGGGGCAGACTGACCATTTGGAAACTCGGGCACTGCCCGAGGGCCCGGTGTCAGTAGGGGACCCCATGAGATGCCCCTGGTACCTTTTTCATAGGCTTTTTTGAGTTTGGTCAAGGACACAGGGGCCCCATGATCTCCTATTGCCCGGGGGCCCCATGAGTTGTCAGTCCGCCCCTGAGTCCACCCCTGCTCCCCATCAGATAACGCAATCACCGAAACATGGTAATAGTTAGGCAACACATTAATCCTCCTCTTGGTCCAGCAATCTCCACCATAGAGAGTGTGATCCATTCAGTCCGATTCATAAATATAAAGCAGAAACTAACCACATAGCGCAAATCTGTCTAAATGCTTTATTTAGTTATTGTCCCCCATAAAATAACACTCACATTAGAATAAATAATAAAAACATCAAATCGCAATAAAGCACTTTTCACCACATGGAATTGCCAGATGTCGTCACACCACACATCTGTGTACAGCCCACTGCACCACTTCTGGGTAGGACAGTCGACATCACATCTGGTGAAGGTACTGACGTCACATGTGGTCACCCCCTGACACATTTTGTCATCATGACTTCCTCTGAGAGACTTCTCTTGAAAAGGATTTATGTGGTGGACTTTCCTTTATGCACAATACTACACTTGGTGGAGGATATTATTTCAATTACTAATGACACTAATTTCAGATACAATTACTGTTATGGTTATTTTTATTAGTATATTGTTATAGCCATAATGGGTGAAGTGCTGTTTTTGTGAGGATTCATTGACTCATAATAATTGATACTTGATTGTTTTATTTAAAACAGCAGCTCACAAGGATACTAGTCTATAGTTTTATCATTCACCAGTACAAAAGAACGTAGTTTTACTCATAGAGTGATAATTTGTGTTTAAAAGTGATAAATAGTTGGAAACTCATGTTGTTGGGTTTGGCTGCTTCCCAGCAAATATCTGGATAGAAACCAATGATGCAAAAGATCCAGCCAGGGCAAACATTTTGTCTGAACTGGTACCCATATCTGCTTATATGGCAGGATGCCATAGGCAGTAATTCAGGTTCACTAGACTTGCACTAAACATTAGTAACAGGAGACCATGCGAGGGTCTGGTAATATGTTGGCAGTTGATTAGATGTCTAAATCTTTGGCTAGCCTAATATTTTCTAACTGAAATGATCAACCAAGAAAATATATGTGAATCAAAAGCTTAGAAAGTACAGAGCATTTCCTGTGTACCTGACTCTGCACTGGCATAGTTGGCAAACAGGTGTGACAAAAGCTTGAGAGCTGACTTCTGGTACAATCCCACCACAGTTTCATTTAGGGGGTCCTTGTTCTTTTCAAGCCAGCCATTTATGTTGTAGTCCACAGTACCAGCATAGTGCACTAGGGCAAAGTGTGCCTCTGGCTTGCCCTTTATGTTGCGTGGCTTTTGGAAGTTGTTGGATTTGCCCAAATGATTGTCATACAGCTTGGCTTTAAAAGTCATATCCGTTGCCTTCGGAAACATACACTCCTCTTCAAGGATTGACATGATTCCCATAGGCTGTGGAAAAAGAACCACACAGGATACCTTTACTATACACAGAAATTGAATTAAGAAAGTGTACTTATTAATAAACTGGTAAAAGGTGTTTTGGCATGCTTTGAAGGGATTCTATTTTTGAGCAATTAAGCTATTAAGAACAGGCATGCAGCATCAACAGATGTTGAAGCCACATTCATTTGAACTGAGGTGATGTAAAAAAGATGCTCTGTTGAGCACCTGTCTTCTCTAAGCCTTTCATCTCCAAACTAATTCATAAATAGTAAATGCTGGGCACATTCGGTGACATTCACTAGACACAAGACAAAGTTTTGCAAAGTTCTCAGACATTTGTGAAGAGAATGTATCTAGTTTGGGCCACTTTGGATTTAACAATTATTCTTACCTTCTCTATGAGGTCAATACAGGCCTGCAAATCCATGCCAAAATCAATGAACTCCCATTCAATTCCCTCTTTCTTGTATTCTTCCTGCTCCAACACGAACATGTGGTGGTTGAAAAACTGCTGCAACTTCTCATTAGTGAAGTTAATGCACAGCTGCTCAAAGCTGTTGAACTGGAGAAAGACATATGTAAAATAAGAGAAAAGAAACAAAAATGCAAATATGCATCAAAGCTCAATTCCTTTTGATCTCTGTGACTTGAAACCTGTGTAGCATCCTGTGCACTGATAAGGCCAGAGTCTGCCAAAATATTAAAAGCGTCACATGGGAGGGTTAGAGGTAGGAGACAAATTCTATCTAAGTTAGCCTGGAAAACCACCTCAAGACCAACTCTGGCCATTCTCTTTTTCATTTTTGGCAGGAAGTAAAAAATTTTTAACATCCGTCAGTATTATTTTGCTGTCTGTGCTCTCATTGGAGATATTTTTACACTTTTTTTATGCTGTGACCACTGTCTCTGGGACAGCAAGAACAAATCTGCCAGAACAAGAAAAATATTGCCCACCCCTCACTTTCAATCTTCGTGATCCCACAAGGCTTGGAGGAGGTGGGGGCAGTTCACCATTGCCGCAAGGGGGGGTGGATTAAATGCTTCTCCTCTCCCCTAAACTAAACAAGCAGTTAACCCTTGCAATACAGGCACAGTCCCACTAAGAGTAAGGTCTTGTTTGACTGAACTGCGTTATTGTTGCTTGTCTTCTGGAACATTTTTTGATCTGCATTCAAATGATGTCTCTACAGTTCATCCTCACCTTGTTCCCGATCTTATATGATTGACTTACAGTCCCACTACAATGGATAATTTTCAAATTTCATGGAGCTAGGCTTTAACTAATTTTCACTTCCGTCCACCACATTTCCAAACATTAACATGTTTTACACTACTCTATATGTAACTTTCAATATTAAACTCCCTCTTCACTATTTTTTGTCATTTCAGAAAACTGCCAATCCTTTCTTTATATCTGTTATTCATTTGTTTCTGAATGACCCGTTTAGCACATAGAATATTGGCATCTGCTACTCAGTAACATACATCAAAGATCTCAAATCCTGCTATGTCCAGCACGCCAATGAAATATTGTCTGGGTTGCTTGGTCTCCAGGGTGTGGTGTTAATTCTTACTACCATCCACAAGAACATTTTCTCGTACACTGACTTGGCCAGGGCTCCTAAGGCATAGTACACCTAGAGGAAACATTAATAGTTTTATAACTTACATGGTTTGTACTGCAGTGTATTTTCTGTTTAATTTCTAACATGAAAAAAAGGATCACTGACCTGCTGGACATTTTGTCCCTTGGTTACGTACTCATTCCCGACCTTGACTCTGGGGTGACACAATCCCTTCAGGAGGTCAGCAGAATTCAGGCCCATAAGGTAGGCAGATTTGTCAGCCTCTGGAACAGACAGAAAAGGTCAGTGATATAGATTCAGGAGTACAAAGACTCCCACCATCTTGGGTTCCTGGTGGATGTGAGCTGTACCTTATATTCAGTGAGGTGACTGAATGCAAGAGAATTCTAAAATCTTATATATTGCTCTAAATAAGGCAGCGGTGCTTTAAATACAGTAGAACTACTCTGAATACACTGTCCGAAAGTGCAATTGCAAATACCAAAAAATGCTAAAAAATATTACAATGTGGAAAAGGAAACTGCTTCTCAAAAAAGGATATTATCACAATAACTTAAATGGAGAAGAGTTAGCTGTTTGAATATATTCGGTTTACCTGAATTTCATGTTTCCAAATAGAATATAGAACGTAGACTGCTTATCAATACCTACAAATTATATTCCAAGATTTGTTTCAAATCTCTCTTAATTTATGATAGCTAGGGCTGACTGAAAATAAAGAACATATCTTCTAACCAAGAGTCATACATTTTTCCAGCTGAATCCAATTAGAAAGATGTGTGAATCTTGGAAGAATATTGAGCAAATCTTGTGTGAAAACATTTATAAATACACCCCATAATGGAATAATCTACCAAAAAACACCCCAAAACATACTCTCTAAAGCAAGAAAAAAAACGTAGCTGTTTTTTTTTTTTTTCAAGCAAACTTTGCCTTAGAAATTCAATGAGTGAAAAAGGATTTCCACTTCAGCAAAATCAATTTCAACAGAATCATTCCGCTCAGCCCTAATGATAGCTAGGTATAATGATTTTTAAAACTTCCCACCTCTCCTGTCTTCACAGATACAGTATATATAATGACAGTACACTGCGGTCATATTCCTTGTTATCAGTATACATATCAAACCTTCAGTGCCATCTGGCTCTGCCTGCTCTTCTCGCTGCTTCTGTTTGAACCTCATGTTCCCAAAGTGCATTATAGCTCCCGTGAGTTTGTAAATTGAGTTCTTCTCATCCTGAGAGAATCCCAGCACATCAAACGCATTCTAAGGAAGACAGATCAGAGAACAGATTCATAAAATATCATTTTACACAGATGGTAGGATGTGATTGCAGTGTGTTTTTTTTATATATAGGTAATAAGTTAGGACATATGGGTACTGTGTGGGTGACGTAATAAATATAACAGTTTTAAAAGTAATCATACCATTATTGTGAATAGCTGTAGATGAAACCTGGGCTGTGAACATTCTAGTTACAGTAATAAAACAATATGTTGTTTGCACTTTACAGAGGACCTGCCAACTAAAAGTCTAGTGAGATTATCAAAAGAAACCTTTGGCCTCTTGATTCATAGTAATTTAATGGCAGGGACCTCCCACTGACTGTGGGAATCCTAAATTTATTTAAATAGCTGTTGAATAGCACAACAATTTTATGACAGGAAACAGGGACTGCAGCTTTTATGGATGCACTGTGGTCCACCCCTGGTTCCTCTTTTTTCCTCTAATGGATGCTGAATGTGATGTTTGCCTTCCACACCAACAGGGAGACGGGTGAGATGGACTCTGCCACAGCCTGACCATGACAGCTGTGGTTCCTGTTTCCTGTAATAAAGCACCTTTGATCTATAGGGTAACAGGGCACTATTTGATTTAAAGAAGAATTGATTAATTTATTTCAGGTACTTATATAGCGCCGTCAATTTACACAGCACTTTACATATATATTTTGTACATTCACATCAGTCCCTAACCGTCAAGGAGCATACAATCTAAGGTCCCTAACTTACATTCATACATACACATACTAGGGCCAATTTAGACAGGAGCCAAATAACCTACCACCATGTCTTTGGAGAGTGGGAGGAAACCCACGCAGACACGGGGAGAACATACAAACTCCACACAGGTAGTGCCTTGGTTGGGATTTGAGTCACCAACCCTAGTGCTGCTAGGCGGAAGTGCTAACCACTTAGCCACTATGCTGCCCAAGAAAAGGCAATGTATTAAGTAGCTAAAATTAAAAAAAACTGAAAAATCGTCACAAGGGACAGAACTTACAGTCAGTAGGATGTGCCCGTTGTGCTGATTCCTCTTCTGTTACAAGAAATCCTCTGTCCAAGCCAGGGGCGAACTGACAACTCATGGGGCCCCCGGGCAATAGGGGATCATGGGGCCCCTGTGCCCTTGCCCAAACTCAAAAAAGCCTATGAAAAAGGTACCAGGGGCATCTCATGGGGCCCCCTACTGACTCCAGTGCCCAAGTTTCCAAATGGTCAGACCGCCCCTGGTCCAAGAACTCCAACACCCCCCCCCCTTCCCACTGCAATAACCTTCCAGTGTGGCTGGGGTTAATCAAACTAAAGAGCTGTCAGAGGCCCTCATCAAGAGAGCCCAACTATGCCCACCCTTTCCTGCCCAGCTCCTCCATTTATAGAATATATATTACAGCTTCTATGAATATAATGTGATCTATCAATGGAAGGGACAGACCTTTCAATCATCCGTTCCTCCTCCAGTTATAGATCTTGTTATGCAATAATAGTTATGTAAAAGTATTTTCTCTGTTGGAGGTGCTTGTTTGTTTTATGTTGAATACTATGTGGAGTTATTATTTCAATAATAGAGAACTAAAGCTATAGCACAGACATATACAATTGTTAGGCACTAATGACTTTATTAGAAGTGTGTATCAAGCACACTTCTGAGTTTATAGCACTTACATCAGTGGCTAGCAGTTCTTCTGTATCATCAATCGAAGCCACGGTGGTCTCCCCCTGAGAGATATATGCATAGTCATATGGATTATTGGTGACCAGCAACATATCTGTAAAAAAGAATGGAAACTGGCAAGTCATAAAAATAAAGAAATAGGTAAATGTAAATGGAATGCTTTGGATCTCAGTGTGGTCCGGGTGTATCAGTGACACCTACCCAGAAGCTCTGGCTTCTTATTGGACAAGATTTGATAGAAGATGTGATAGTCCCTTTCTGATTTCAGCTGAAAGGTCACACGAGATTTCTCCAAGAGATCTAAAGAGAATAGTGAGATAAAAGTTATTTATGGGCCCAGGAAGATCTTCAGTTAATCTGGCCGATGACAGTTGCAGCAGGAAATGTTCATATGACTAGGGACTTCTGTATTTGCAGACTTTCTCTTGGCTGACTGATTTCAGGGGGAAAAAACTCATCAATGTACATTCCAGCTGATTGCTGTAGTTCTCAAAAGATATGGACAGTCCCAGGGGTGTCTACTGAAGGCATAAATGTACCATTCAATAATTTGCCAGTATTGTTGTGTGTGTTTATGGCTTAATCTTTCTACAGTGCAATCCTGGATGAGATCTTTTGACCACTGTTTTGATCATGCTTAAGGCATAAACAAAGAATATTCTGCTTGCTACATGGCATTAGAATTTTTTTTTTAACAACCAAAATGTTCCTTTATTGAAAAAGAATGGCAGTAGTACAGGGTACATAGACATTCAGAAGACTGAATCCAAGATAGTTTATGCAACTAGAAGAACTACAGCATAGCAACATAGGGTTATATGTGTATAAGAGTACAGTATCATTCCCATGCATCCCAAAATGTAAGCGAGAAGGTATCGCAGCCGCACCCGAACCTGTATCAGGCTGGAGTACCTACAACAGGAGCTCATTCATTGGTCCAGCCACAGCTGCCATACCCCATCAGATTTAGTGGGCAATTCCTATTAATGTACGTCAATTTGTACATAGGAAGAACATCACTAACAGCTTTTTCCCAGGAGTTTATGGAGAAGGTGGAGAATGCATTCCAATGAAGTATAATTTCTTTTTTGGCATAGTATAGTAGGTAAGAGATCAGTAGCTTAGTGTACCGGGGCCTCTGCTCATCATGCTGGATACCAAGCAGTGCCAAGGCTGGCGAGCCTGGAAAGGTCAGCTGTAGGCGGCAATTGACAAGCTCAAACACCATGGCCCAGAACCTGGATACCTGAGGACAATCCCAGAACACATGGTAGTAAGTGCCCTCGGACCTGTGACATCGAGGACAGTCAGGGGACATATCCTATGCAGCTTTTGTAGAATATATTACACTCTGTGTAGGAATTTCATTTGGATCAATTAATCCCTAGAAAAGATCACCAATCTTGAACTATCCTCAAAACAGTCCTTCCTATCTAGGGTGGGGATATCCGCTTTCCAGGCCTCCCAGAGGGCCTCCATTTTGGGGGAGTTCACACACAGTAAAGTTAAATAAAGGGAGAAAAGTGGTTTGGAGATAAAGTCCTGGGCCAGGAGATCCTCCATAGGGTCAGTGGTTAACTGAAGGGGTACCAGGAACTGTGCTCTAACTGCATGCTGTAGCTGGAAGTACCTGAAGTACATCCATCTATGGAGCCTAAATTTATTCAGAAAGCCGCTAAAGGAGAGTAGGGATCCTGAAGAAAAGACATCTGGCCCAAAGGTGGGGATCAGGCAGCAGTCTAAAATGAGGGAGTATGGGATTCCCCCAGAGTGGATGGTATGGGACCAGTGTCCTAGCTGTAGGAAACACTTCCTAGTGGCAGTCCAGACTCTGAGAGTCAACCTAGTAGGGTGTGGCAGATCGGCATAAGCCTTAGGAATCCGATAAACCAAGTTGCCCACTCCTGGAGTGAGTCTAGGAGAACTGCCTCAAAACAAACCCCATCTTTAGTCCGAGAGTGAACAAACCACCACTGGACAGACACAAGCACGGCTGCCCAGTAGTAAGTCTGAACACTGGGCAACGCCAAGCCACATCAGCGCAACGGAAGCTGGAGTGTGGACCTAGCCATTCAAGGTGACATAAGAAGAAGCCTACACAGGAGTCTATGTCCTTCAAAAAAATGGCATTAAAATTTAATGTAAACAGATGCTTTTTGAGCAAGGTACCAACTAAATTAATATGACATGGTGCAATCAACTAATATAATAAGATGAAAGATATCATGATCAAAAATAGATAACAGATCTTATGCACGCAGCCTGTAGGAAAATGAGAGTTAGATGGTTATGCTGGCTATGCAAGATTTAATGTTGTAAATTATCTTACATTTCAAAATGACCAACACAACATATAAAAGACTGATTTGGTTGCATTTGATTATTAACTCTTCTTCAGATAAGTTACTTTAAGGAAGATATCATTCTTTACCCAAAGCCATCTGTCACAATCGTGCATACAAGAGCCAGACACGGCTCTCACTGCGTTAAGAGGTCTTAATGTTATCCCCTCATTCCCCCTCCCTCAGGAATGCGTTCAGCGTACCTTGCTAAGGGGCTGTCTATACAATCCTCTTGCCAAATAAGGTAATTGGCTTGTCCGTTGTAGGAAGTTACCAGTTGATTTTGTGTGTAGAAAAAGAAGCTGTTATGCTTTGTGTGTAGACAGAGAAGTGAGGACCGTCTGCGTGTTAACATCTAGCAGACCGAGAGAAAGCTAAGTCTCCTGCGATGAGCCAACGAAACTAGCAGTCGAGACCAGAAATCCCTTTTAAGCTCATCAGACTTGAAACTGCTTAACCCCAGGCATCTTTGTGGGCAAGTACTTATTACCTAAACTTCATTCTGTTATCTGTTTGCTGTGGTGCTCTGTATATTTTATATATATATATATATATATATATATATATATATATATATATATATACATATATATATATATATATATTGGTTACATCTTTTTTTCTGTAAATATTTCTACTGCACCCTTTTGACCTTTTAGTAATAAATTTTACTTTCTGAAAGTGTTGAACTGTTTCTATAGCTCTTGAATGTAACTTACGAATCCCTGCCACTGAAGAGCGCTACTATGAGTGTTTAACCCTCTGTATAACCTGTCTGTGGAGATAGCGGGATACCGACGATTAACCAATCATCCTAGTGTAATGCTGATATTGCCGAATTTCCTCTTTCTCTGTACAAAAAGGAGGTGGTGGCAGTGTGAAGGGTTAATTGCATAATTAACCTGACCCAGTAACAATCGCGTCCAGGCTGCAGGTATACAGATTGTAGTCCATTAGCTGGAAAATCTTTGTGCAGGGTGCAGCTGGGCGTGGCATTGTTACGCACGTGACATCGCAGTTTTAGATTGGCTAGTCCTTCGGTCACGAGTTTGGTGAGAAGGTCTGGGGTCTGACGCCGCGCCCGTCACACCATCTTTATATTGAATAATTGTATTGGCATATGTGTGGCCAATATTAGAAAGTGAAGAAGTAGAAAACCATAACATATTACTGAAAGGGTCATTATTATAGGATCAAAACAAAGAAAGAAAGAAAGATACAGTATATAGTCATTCTCACAGGTCTCAATATCAGCAGATGCCAGCTTCCCCGTGGCTCCAAAATGGATTCTAATGAATTTACCCTGTTGTAGAAAAGGATAAAAAGAGACAGAAAAAGAAAAAGGAAAGAGAAAAGATTGACAGTAAATGGAAATGTGAAGTATTCCTCATTGCCAAGAACCAAGGATGATAAAACAGGAAGGTCTAAAATACATATGACAGAACATGCTATGGAGGTTACTTATAGCGATAATTGGATACCGCCCTGTGCTGGACACCACCAATTTGCTCTGCACCACGGCCCACATGCTTTTAAACAAAATGCAGGCCGCAGTGTGGAGCCTATGGTATGTGATTAGGTTCTCTCTGCTTAAAGCTGCAGAAAGTGACATACCAAATGACTGAGCTCTACTCCTGTTTTTTTTTTACCCACAGAGCCTCAAAGTTAGCAGAACTCTGCAAAAATCAGTAAAACATGTTGATGTGCTTTATAATTATGCATTTTGTATTTTATTTTAAGCAGTGGAATGACTGTGGTAAGGCCATACCTTTGCATTATAAGTTTAAAGTATATAGGGGCCCTATGTGTCTTCTGACAGAGGGAAGTCGTACATGGTAGGTCAATAACTTTTTTGCCTATTCCTAAAGAGGAACTAAAATCCTACTTAAAAAAAAACATTGCTGACAGGCAGTTTTTTTTTTTTTGCAGAGGAGACTCTGTTTATCTCTTCTGCAGATGAAGCACTATACCCGCTGTGCATTCTTGCACGCTATGGCAAAAATCTTGGGCATTGGCAGGAGATTTTGCTTCTGCTTTAATGACAAAATGTAGGAATAGGTCTCATTTCACAGAGATTTCCTAGCAAGCTTGGCCTAATCCTTACTAGAGTGTCACTTTTTTATTTGGCAAAACACTTTGACTGAAATAAAATATCAGTGACATGCTACACTACTAATATTTAGCTGCTATATGCAACAAGCAAAAAGAAAGCTACCTCCATTGTACATGTTTCTTAAATTATATACAAAAACAATACCATGAACTTTTATATTTAAATGGACTTTAGTTTTTTGTTTTTTTTTTTGCTTTTTGTCTTTTTGAATTTTTGACTGTTTTTTTTTTCTGTTTTTGGTATTTTCATGTATAATTTATCACTGTTCATTTCATATGTATGGTGAGAAACCTTTATATTTACCAGTTTATGATACTGCTAGGGTTGCACTTGCACATATGAGTATACTGGCAGGTGTATGTATGTGGATGCTTTATTGATTGGGTGTTCACTGAGTTGGACAGCGCACCGCTGCTATATACTACAAACTGACATTCTACAGCGTGTGAGTGCACTCTTAAAGTGGTAGCAGCAGTCCTATTTCTTTATTTTTGCTTAGTGTTATTGGCGCTTATGGTTTTGGACTTTTCTTAATCATATTGGTGAATGGAGGTCCTAGATAGCAGTGCACAAGGTACACACTCTCACACAATGCACAGTATAATATTACAATGCATTGCAGTGTGCTGCACTTTAGGTCTATTGCCTTAGCACTGGAGTGCTATTCAGAATGACACACTAACACACATGCTGCATTGCAAAATAAAGGTGTAAAGCCAGGCTCATTTATAAACTATCTAACTGAGATTGATCACATTCACTATATACAGTTGCAAGAAAAAGTATGTGAACCCCTTGGGATTACATGGAGTTTTGCATGAATTGGGCATAAAATGTGCTCTGAACGTCATCTAAGTCACAACAATAGAAGAACACAGTCTGCTGAACATAATACTACACAAACATTAGATGTTGCCATGGTTTAATTGCACATAACATGTAAACATTCACAGTCCAGGGAGGAAAAAGTATGTGAACCTTTGGACTTAATAACTGGTTGACCCTTCTTTGGCAGCAATAACCTCAACCAAACATTTCCTGTAGTTGCAGATCAGACCTGCACAACGATCTGGAGTCATTTTGGACCACTCCTCTTCACAAAACTGTTTCAGTGTAGCAATATTCTTCGATGTCTGGTGTGAATCGCTCTCTTAAGGTCATGCCACAGCATTTCAATCGGGTTGAGGTCAGGACTCTGACTGGGCCACTCCAGAAGGCGTATTCTGTGCTGTTGCAACCATTGTTTTGTTGAATTACTTGTATGCTTTGGGTCATTGTCCTGTTGCATCACCCATCCTCTGCGGAGCTTCAGTTGGCAGACAGATGGTCGTACGTTTTCCTTCAAAATGTCTTGATAAACTCTGGAATTTATTTTCCCATCAATGACAACAATCCGTCCAGGCCCTGAGGCAGCAAAGCAGCCCCAAACCATGATGCTCCCTCCGCCATGTTTCACAGTGGGGATGAGGTTTGATGTTGGTGTTCTGTGCCTTTTTTTTCTCCACACATAGTGTTGTGTGTTCTTCCCAAACAACTCAATCTTGGTTTCATCTGTCCACAGTATATTGTGCCAGTAGTGCTGTGGAACATCCAGGTGCTCTTTTGCAAACTTCAAACGTGCTGCAATGTTCTTTTTGGACAGCAATGGCTTCCTCCATGGTGTCCTCCCATGTACTCCATTCTTGTTTCATGTTTTCCTTATTGTAGATGTGTCAACAAAAATGTTAGCATGTGCCAGAGATTTCTGTAGGTCTTTAGCTGACACTCTGGGATTCTTCTTTACCTCATGCAGCATTCTGCGCTGTGCTCTTGCAGTCATTTTTACAGGACGACCACGCCTAGGGAGAGTAGCGACAGTGCTAAACTTTCTCCATTTGTAGACAGTCTGTCTTACCGTGGACACATGAACATCAAGGCTTTTGGAGATACTTTTGTAACCCTTTCCAGCTTCATGCAAGTCAACAATTCTTGATTGTAGGTCTTCTGAGAGCTCTTTTCTGCGAGGCATGGTTCACATCAGACAGTGCTTCTTGAAACCAGTAAACCCAAAACAGGTGTGTGTTTTTTAAGGGCAGGACAGCTGTCAGCAACACATCCAATATCATCACACTGATTGGAGTCAAGGTTGGCTCACTCCTGGCTCCAATTAGCTCTGGGAGAAGTCATTAAGCTAGGGCTTCACATACTTTTTCCTCCCTGCACTGTGAATGTTTACATGTTATGTGCAATTAAACCATGGCAACATCTAATGTTTGTGTAGTATTATGTTCAGCAGACTGTGTTCTTCTATTGTTGTGACTTAGATGACGTTCAGAGCACATTTTATGCCCAATTCATGCAAAACTCCACGTAATCCCAAGGGGTTCACATACTTTTTCTTGCAACTGTATATATATATACATACAGGCGTACCTCATTTTACAAACGCCTCGGTTAATGTAATTTTCGGTTTACGAATGAAAATCCATTGAAAATAATGCCTCGGTTTACAAATTTTTTTTTTCATTGGTTTTCAATGCATTTACGATTTTTTTTTAATCATGTCCCTGTACAGTACTATGCCTTTAAAGTGCACTTTAGAAAGAGTTTTGAAACAGATAAGACTTTTTTTTTTTACTTTTTTCTGACCTCCGGAACAGATTAATTGGTTTTCAATGCATTTACGAATTAATTTTTAATCATGTCCCTGTACAGTATTTATGCCTTTAAAGTGCATTCTATAAAGAGTTGTGAACAGATAAAAGACTTTTCTTTTTTACTTTTTTCTGACCTTTGGAACCGATTAGTTGGTTTTCAATGCATTGCTATGAAAACCTTGTTTTGGTTTACAAATTTTTCACAATATGAAAAGTTCCGCAGAATGCATTAAATTTGTAAACCAAAGTACGCCTGTATGTGTGTGTATGTATATATATATATGTATGTATGCAAAAAGATTACAGTTTTCATTTAAATCTCATGACCATTGATTACATCTGTGCCCTGAAGGCTGAAAGTCAACGATGGTAAGTAATGAAATTTAGGCTAACGACTTACAAATCTTGAGGAGTTGTCATTTCTCAAAGTCTTGGCATTACCAAATGCCTCCAGAGCAGGGTTAGCCTGGATAATTTGATCCTCCAGAGTCCCCTATAAATTAGGTGGGAGAAAAAGTAAATTGGTCATACAAGGTCTTCTCCACAAATATATGGCAAACAATGCCAATAATAGGAAAACAATAAGTAATTACAGCACATTACAAGAGGCTAATTTACTGCCAAAACTCTTTTCAAGAAGGATGGTTACAGACCAATCTACAGTTGTGGCCAAAATTATTCAACCCCCAATGCTGTAAAGGGGTTTAGGGACTATAGTGTACATTTGGAATTGTATTCAGAATCAAATCCTACAAGGACGTTGTAACTACCCAAATGCAACTAAAATGACATCAATTGTTTATGTAATACAGTAGTAAATGGTTCTTATGTGGTTTCTTCATTGCCACAATTATTCAACCCCTTAAAGACTACCACTCTGAAGAACAGAGGTTCATACAGGTGCTTTCCATCAGGTATTGAAAACACCTGTGGATGTCACCGAGCAGCAATCAAGCATATATAAGCACCAATTAGCTTTAAAATGACTGTGATACTCAGCTCCTTCTAGACATTTACTGGTGTGGTTACAAACATGGTGAAGGCAAAGAATGGTCCAGGAAGACAAGAGAAGGTGATTTCTCTTCACAGGAAGGGCAAATAAGAAGATTGCAAAGATGTTAAAATACCAAGAGACACCTTAGGAAGCATCATTCGCAAATTCAAGGCAAAGGGCACTGTTGAAACGCTACCTGGTCGTGGCAGAAAGAAGATGCTGACTTCGACTGCTGTGCGCTACCTGAAGCGTAGAGTGGAGAGAAGTCCCCGTGTGACTGCTGAGGAACTGAGAAAAGATTTGTCAGATGTGGGTACAGAAGTTTCAGCCCAGACAATAAGACGCACACTGCGTAATGAAGGCCTCCGTGCCAGAACTCCCAGGCGTACCCCCTTGCTGTCTCCAAAGAATAAGAAGAGTCGACTGCAGTATGCCAAAAGCCATGTGGACAAACACAAAAGTTGTGGGATAGTGTTCTGTGGACTGATGAAACAAAATTAGAACTGTTTGGGCCCATGGATCAACGCTATGTTTGGAGGAGGAAGAACAAGGCCTATGATGAAAAGAACACACCTTGCCTACTGTGAAGCATGGTGGAGGGTCAATCATGCTTTGGGGCTGTTTTGCTTCTGCAGGTACAGGGAAGCTTCAGCGTGTGCAAGGTACCATGAATTCTCTTCAGTACCAGGAGATATTGGATGGAAACGTGATGCAGTCCGTCACACACCTGAGGCTTGGGAGACGTTGGACCTTTAGGTGGACAATGATCCCAAGCATACCTCCAAGTCCACTAGAGCATGGTTGCAGAGGAAAGGCTGGAACATTTTGGAGTGGCCATCGCAGTCACCAGACTTAAATCCGATTGAGAACCTCTGGTGGGACTTAAAGAAAGCAGTTGCAGTGCGCAAGCCTAAGAATGTGACTGAACTGGAGGCCTTTGCCCATGAAGAATGGCGAAGATACCCGTAGATCGCTGCAAGACACTTGTGTCAAGCTATGCTTCACGTTTAAAAGCTGTTATAACTGTAAAAGGATGCTGTACTAAGTACTAAGATTGAATGTCACTTGGGGGTTGAATAAAACTGATAATGCTGTGAGCACAGAAAAGACATTTGTGGTTATTTCATTATAACTGTTATGTTATATTTGTCTGACCTACAAGTGCCTCTTTAATGTAAATGTAAGCAAGATGACTGAATGATCAAAAGCAATGTCAAACTGGCCAAAACACTCAATTTCAGTGGGGGTTGAATAATTTTGGCCACAACTGTATCCCATCAAGGTTGCTGTACTTTGTTTTTCACAGTGCAGGAAAGTGTTTTAACCTCTTCAGTAGAGGAAAAGTAATAAACAGTAATCGATAACAGAGATTTTCTAACAAGCTGGAAAATCTGAAGTGTTTGGAAAAATGTAAGTGTTTATGCATTTCCCCTTATGTCAGAACACATATCTAAGTTCAGTATACCCATATATTTAACATTATGTTTGTAGAAGCATGTTCCTGTCCCATTAATAAATTGTGTAGAGACCCTGCCTTAGGGCTCGTTCACACTTGACTGTTTTACCAACTCTTGCCAAATGCCCCCATAGCATTTGGCAAGCGTCGGTCCGGCGTTTGCAGAGCGTTTTTTAACGCTCTGCAAACGCCGCATGCGAGGTTCAATGGTGGTTGCTAGGCGTTTGCCGAGCATTAAAAACGCCCCACAAACGCCTATATAAAGTTTGGATGGTGTTACCGCTCCGCAAACGCCCCGCAACTGCGTCGCAACCACACCGCAAATGCCGGCCGGGCATTTGCGGAGCGGCACCATAGACTAGAATAGGAGGCTTCAACGCCTCCTGACTCGACCAGAGGCGTCCATTTTGCCGCAGCGTGCCACGCCGCTACCGCTCCCGTTAGAACAGCACCATGTGCTGCAATTGGCAGAGTTGTCCGAGGCATTTGGGAAGCGGTAAAAACGCTTCCCAAATGCCTTTCTGCCGCTTGAAAACAAGGCTAGTGTTAACGTAGCCTTAAAATGGTTGTAAGTATCAGTATACCCATATATTTAATATTATACTTGTACAAGCATGTTCCTGTCCCATTAATAAATTGTGTAGAGACCCTGCCTTAAAATGATTCTAAAACCTCTGAAAAATCAGATCATATACCTTTAAAGTTTGTAAAGGCCATAATCCAAAAGTACCAAGTTCAGATTATTGCTTACTGTTGTCAGGGAGTGTTCTCCAGCAAATAGGGCAGGAAGGCATAACTTGTTTATGAATATTTATTTCTCCATTATTTTCTCTGGGTTTCTCTGTTTTATTGTTAGTGGTGCATGCTATGGAGGAATATAAATATTTGGGGTGATCTTGCAGAGGGCTCCTTGCCTCCTGAGTTGCTGCCAGGAGTGGAGATTGTGCTGGGAGTCCTTGTTTTATTGGAGTCACCAGCACACCAGGGATCTCCAAAGAGGGCCAAACATGTTAGTAATCATCAAATCACAGCAAAAACAGCAATGGTTACTAGGCCACACAGGACCCTTCATCAGGCATGTAACAAGTGCAGTGCAAAAAAGATTATTATGTAAAGAACCATCCACCAATTACAAGGAGAACAATTGACTGCTTCCTGCCCCCTTATGTCATAATGACCTCAATGCCCTGCCAAAACTACATTCAAAATGAGATAAACATATGTCCAAAATATAACGGAATCAAAAACAACTTTAAAAATCAATAATACCCTGTGGCTCAGACATCATGCTTCTTGAATGTTAAGAGCCCCAGATGCTAAAATGAACATATCCAAAGAATGTGTAACAATTGTGGAGACATGTTCATTTTTGGTTGAACATATCCTTTGTTCTGAGTACTTCAGGTCCCCAGCTGGCGTCCACTGCAGCACTCACTTACCTGACAGCCATATCCAGGAATGTGTGCATTGGGAATATTTCTCTCCCAGTTGCTCTTAATGGTCCACAATTACACATTACCATTCCCGGCTCAAAGGTCAGCATCCTGTGTTGACTGTTATTAAATGGTCTGAGATATCTTTGCTGCTGTTTTTGGGTGTCCTAGCCCTCTCTCTTGGAGTTTACTGAGTCAAATAAAACCATATGAGAAATTTATCAAAACTGGAGCAGACAAAATCTGGAGCAGCCATGGATGCCAATCAATTGTCTTGTTCAGTTAAGCTTTGAAAATGAAAGACAGTAGCTGAATGGTTGCCATGCACAAATGCTCCAGGGCTAAGGGGATGCCACAACTGCATTCCCACTAAATATCTTAAGCATTAATGGGAAACTAATGCAATAAGAAAGAATTTTACATATATTTATTTACCTAATGATTCCCATGTACTCTCAAATTTTGACAGCCAGCGTAGGCTCTTTTATGTTGTAGATGAAAGGACCTTATTGAGTACTCTGTTTTTAAGTATTAGCAATGCACTTTTCATTTGTGTGTAAATTAAGTCAAGATTGTATAGAAAATGACTGAACATGGCTGTGTACATTTGCCATCAAAAATTTTGAGCCCCAATTCAAATGTTTCCATGTAGCAACACATTCACCCACTCCTAGGTCACTTTTCTTGATTACTGGCCAAGTTTTATGACTCAGGCATAGCAGCATGATGAGGCTAATGCAATAAAACTATTCTATTGTTTTATATGGAAGTGAAAAATTAAAATGCTCTAGAGAGGATTGGATAAGAGCTTTAGAAATTCACAAAAATAAGGGAAATAACTGCAACTTATGTTTATTTTTGAGTAACTGTAACTTCCTTCTAAATAATCCTGTTGGTAAAAAGACATTGATACTGCTGCATTTATAAGCATAGTTGGAAAACAGTTAAAATTAGCATATTATTTAAAAAAAGGAGGGGGAGAGGCTGGCTCCATAACCTGTCAAATTCATGCGGCCAGCCTTTTCTTCAGTATTATGCAGCATTATGTAGGATCTGCATGTAGCAAGCAACTGCCATTCAGGGACATTTATAGATGATAATATGTGTCCCGGTCCTCCCACACGCCATGCCCACAGCGACTAGCTAACCAAGGCGCGCACGTGTGGTCGTGACTTAGGGTAAGAGGGAATAAGGGGGACTTAACTTTGAATATATATACGTATATAAGACTGGCCGTGATATACTTTCACAGCCCGCACTACCTCTTGGCCACCAGTGGAGGGAGACTCCACTCCAATCCAGCCAACCGACCACACACTGGCAGATACAAATCTTACATACAATCTGATGCACTAACTAGGGTTGAGGAGCAGCCTAGCAATCACACACCCTTCTAGGATCCCTCCAGCTATCTACAAGCTAGAACCCCAGTGTTAATCACTCTTCCACTGTCCACACACCCCCACACCAGACACTCCACAAATGGTAGCTTGCCACCACCCAACAGTTTATCTGCAGAACGGTCTGTTGGGACACCACACACACACAGATATCCATCTGGCAGATCTGCTACCTTTACAATCCGCATGCAATCTGCCAACCCACAGTGCAATTGCATACAGATTGGCAATGAGCTTGACCGAGCATATAAAGACACTAAAATACCATACAATCTAATCTCTCCGGAGATATGGGCCCGTGCTTAAATACCCAGAAGTCACTTATTCATTTTAAGATTTAATATCCCGAAAGTGGGCAGTGCATAAAATATGTACAAAGTATAAAAAGTTACAGAAATACAAAAAATACAAGACACACAGAGTGCCCAATCAGAAGGAAGTATTTTCATCTCTCTGCAACTAATATTTTAGCTTTTATGAGTTATGAAACATACTCCTTTGATCTATGTATATACTTTAGAGCTCCCCAGACAGATCCGGGCCCCCTGGTGTCATCAAGCCGAAACATCTGCATTCCTCTTTTAAAGGTGGCACAGTCTCATTACATATAGGTGACAAAATCTTATTAGCCCCCAGGTGTCACTTCCAGCCTATGGAAGCTCTGTCTCTTTTCAGATGCTAATGGATGACCATATGTCTCTGAATACCATGACTGAATACATCTTTAATGACAAGGAATGAACTAAATCTACGATTTCATATTGCTACAGGTCACATCTCAGCTACTCAAATCTGTACATTTATGTCACACTATGGTTAACCCTTTTTCCCCCTAGTGCCTAGTACTGGAACTGTTGCATCACTTCCTGTTAGCAGATTAGATTCAGTTTTACTGACAGCAGAGGATCTTGGGACCTGTAGTCTTATAGCCAATACATCCATGCATTCCTGGTTGCTGATTGAACTACAACTATCAGAGAGCTGGGTAATGAGAAGAATGCTAGGAAAGCAGATATATTCTTCAGCAAGGAACTGGCTCACTCTCTTGGTGTTTGATTAAGATTTGAACACTGGAGAATTGCCATTCTCCTCCAGAGACAGATTGCTGGCCTATTGCGGCGGGACTCTGCACATCAGTTCGGCACAGTGGTGGTGCCAATCTCACACACCGGGATTGCATCAGCCTCTCTGCATCAGGACTGTCACTGTACGGTCTTTCACACAGACATCTCTGATTGTGCGCTGTCAGACTGTCAATAGGCAGCTCTGCACATCCCTGCAAACAGCCAAGAGCATGGGCAAGAACTCTTGTTCCTAGGAGGCCATGCTGTCCATAGGATTTGAGAGTGGGTGGATGCCCAACCGCTTTCTGTCATCACTGTAGAGACACTGCATGCAGACACCTTTACAGCTCAGTTACCCGGAGATCTTTGCTTTGAGCAGTACTACAGCTTATCTGTTTAACTTCATTAAATTACCAATATTCACTAATGCCTTTGGTCCCCACCATTGCTAGCAGAAGACAGCAGATACCACCATATCAGGAACTTTAAACATCGCAGGACTCAAGTTGCAATCTCTAGCTAAAGGGACCTTTTCTCTTCTATGGCCATTGTTATTCAATGTAGGGTATTTATAGCTGTTTATGCCATAGTACATATTTACATAATTCTCTGCAAGCCCTGTTGCGGTGCCGGTTGCATGGAGGGAGTTGGTAAGTCAACAAGCCTTTTCTCCCCCCTGTTGCTGTTCGTGTTTCAATTAAATAGTCCAAGCTTACTACTCATGACTGCATAACCTGTTAAACATTGCTAATTGATTATTTCTATTTTACCAGTGTTCTGTTTTTATGTGTTAACTGCGGTTGTATATCCTAAACCCATTATTACTGTAGCCTACTCTTTTGAACAAGTCTGATATAGAGGAGTTTCTAAAGAATTGTGTCTCTTGCATTATTATTCTATACTCTTGAAATATGTCTGAACCCATGTCAGAGGTGTCAGGAGGCTTGCATGATCAGGGCAACCATTGGAGACAAGCATTATCAAGCAGCCCCTGTAGGGGTAGTGCTACATACACCACAGCCTGCATTTTATGAATGGCTTACAAAATATATGTGCAGTGTGAAAATAAAAAGAAGTGTTCATCAAGCTAGCGATATCTGCTCACGTTTATAAATATCCTGTTAGTATTTAAGGGTCCATGGTTACCTCTTTAAATATGCTGCAAGTACAAATAATAACTGTTGATATGACAGAAGTAAAGTATGCTCCTAATGTCCTCTTTGGATTGACAGCACAGCATTTTTAAAAAAATCCCAAACCCATGGTGTCAGCCCTGCCTACATTTTGTAAGTAATTACAAAGGATACAGTCCTATCCTTGACCTCCCCCCCCCCCCCCCCCCCCATCCGTCCGCACACACACTTATCTCAATAATCTCTCCTTTTGCACAGGAAGCTATGGGTTCATAAGAATTCTGGCAGAATAAACATATTTTTCTGAATTTATCAAAAAGATATAATAAAACACTTTCAATGGTATATTTAGCAGACTAAAAACGTACACTTTATCATCTATTAATTCAGGCTTACCTTGCCTGTGGGACTAGTATCCTTTTTACGGTCACCTATAGCAGCGATGACAGCAAAGTACTGGATGACACGTTTGGTATTTACAGTCTTTCCAGCACCAGATTCTCCACTAACCTCAGAAAGAGAAGACTAGGTTATTAGGGTTACATAAAACATATCAGTCACAAACTGATAGGAGGAAACTTTCAGAGTACATACGTGATAAGGATAGACTGATTCTCCCTGTCTGTAAAAGAAAAACATTCTGTTACTGATGGTAAAAAACAAAAGTCAACACTTTAATAACCTTATACAATATATTTTGTAATTTGGTATCACAAGGCGCTGGCTCCAGCAAAGAATACTTTAGGCCAACATAATTCCCTCCGATTCCCTCTGTGAGTGACAGATCTATTGATTTGAAAAAGTAAATCCTTACCATAGAACTTCCACAATGTATGTTTTATACTGCTAAAGGTGTGTGTGTGGGGGGGGCAAGTATCATTTGCAGAGTACCCAACTGTCATATTAGCATTTAAATATTGTAAATATTGTGAATTTATGTATCACAAGCTGATACGTATACACTGAAATTTTAATAGCACAGTAGACACTAGATCAAAACATTGGTCCTAAAGTTGGCCTTTTGTGAGCTGAATGAAAAAAACTGAACCAATTCCCCCATCCACACATTTGAGGTGGATAGAGGAATTCTCCCTGCCGCACTATTGTTTTCTGATAGCAGGGAGTCTCCTCTGCAGCCATTGGCTGCAGCTGCTGATTGAGCTTTTACCATTACCTTTTATTGAGACTGAAGAGAGCAGGTAGTGACCGGCAGTGCGCTTAGTGGGCACAGCGGCTGGGGGAGCAATCGAGGATTTATTGAGACTGAAGAGAACAGGTAATGACCGGCAGTGCGCTTAGTGGGCACAGCGGCTGGGGGAGCAACTGAGGATTTATTGAGACTGAAGAGAACAGGTAGTGGGCACAGTGGCTAGGGGAGCAAAGCATCATTATAGGCAGCACAGCAGGAACACAAGCAGATAATTTGTACGAGGCAGCATTTTATATACAGGATCAAATGAATGGAGGGGACACACTGTTGTAATGACATATTTTTTATATGGGCTGCATGTTACTGAGGTTGTGCTGTTTTGATGTAATAAAGAGTGAGCGTCTGGGAGAGGAGAAATCCTGCTGCTCTGCTGCTGCTACCTGATGCTCACCATCATCAGCAATACAAATGCTAATAAATATTTCTAAAGGGACAGGGTTCTACATTATTGCCTTTTTTTCTACTGTCTATATTTGGTTCATATATACATATTCTCCTTAGTAGGGGAGATCTGGTGTAGCCTCCAAAACAGTACAGTGTTTTTATATTGATTTGTATTTACTGTAGACTCTGAACCCTATCCTTTAAGTCTTACTTTTAGTACAAACTTGGCCACATTTAAAATTTGTCCTTGAGCACTCCATGATTGGCTTCACCCTCCATAATCTAAGGAATTGTGATTTCCACAAGTTTCCAGGTATGTCACCATACTTGGGAACTTGTCAGTGTCTGGAGATGCCGGCTTTTATTCACTTCAGGCTGGCTCTTTTTTGCAAGTATAGCTATATAAAACATTTAAAATAAAGCGTCTATAATGTTTAAAATGCAGTAATACATTGTCTCACCCTGCTCTGCACATGCTCAGTTGCTTTCTATTTTTTGGCACTTTGCTGAAAATCATAGCCACTAGAGGCCGATCTACTGGGAGCCCAAAGATTTACTGCTGCTCAGGTGCTCTGGGCTTCAGCAAATGGCAGCCTCCAGCAAGAAGAAACAGGAACAATGCCGAAGGCAATTTACAGCACACAGTAATTATGGTAGCATAATTATTAATGTGGAATGTATGTTCCTTACTATAGAAGTTGTAATGGGTAAAGTTCCACTTTAAGGTGCCAGGCTCCATTCTCCAGTTGCCTGCTGATTGACAGGAGTGATTGCAGCGTCACTCCTGTCAGGCTGAGCAGGTACTGGGATAGCTGCTGGAGGGAAGGTTCTGCTCTCTCCTCCTTCCAATGTAAGTTTACTGTGTGCACACACTCCTGCTCAGTTCCCTATTCATCACATTTCCTTATTCATCAGTGTGTGGCCTCACCCAACCAACAGAAGAGGATTATTTAAAGTGGTATTAAACTCAAAACAAAAAATGTAACATATTGCAGGTTACAAGCCATCAGATGTATTAGCTGCATTCTCTTTTTTCAGGGTTTTTTCCATGCACTAGCAAATTCAAATACAAATTGAAGCCAAACTCTATTGACAAAATGCGTCAAGTGGAACATCAATTCCAATCTCAGGTGGAACGCATAATGAGGGATTGGCGGCTTCCGCAAGATCGGATCGGGATTGTCTGTATGCTTTTTGTATTTTTATGGGCATAATCCTTTATCTGATACCATTTTACTAAATATACAGTTTACACTAAGAGATGATGCCTCTTTTTTTAAATATATGCCGTTATCATCATTGGATCGCTACTGGGATTGCTGGAGGTAACAGCGCTGAGAAGTAACGAGAAGGAGATCGCAACTGGTCTCTGGGAGAGCACAAAGCGCATATGACTTTTCTTGTTGTACAACAAGGAGCTCAATGAAATCTGGTGAGTGAGGAGTTTTAACACACATTGCTGGTGGCACACTGGATGGTGGGATCAGTGTACAGAGCACTTTTATTGCAACATATGGACTTTCCATAATTTTATGGTGTTGGAATCAAAGGAAGTACACACTATTTGGGACTTTGCACTGAATACAGATTATTAATTTTGCACTTGCAGGAATGTGAGAAAATATGTTATTGGAATAATTTCTTTTTATAAGATTTGCAAATTGTACAGAGTATTAATTTGCAGTATTAATTTGTACAGAGTATTAATTTGCAGTATTAATTTGTACAGAGTCTTAATTTGCAGTATTATTTTGTACAGAGTATTAATTTGCAGTATTAATTTGTACAGAGTATTAATTTGCAGTATTAATTTGTACAGAGTATTAATTTGCAGTATTAATTTGTACAGAGTCTTAATTTGCAAGCGCTATCAGGTGTATGTGAAACTCCAGTTATCACCTTATAAGAAGTTACATCAACAGTTTTTTTTCCTTTTGGGATAAAGGTTTTACATAAATAATTAAAATCTGATTACTTTAAACACCTCTGTCCATGTTAAGTTGTTTATCTCAACCCTCTAACTCTTACATCTGCAGGATAGCTTGTTCTGTTGAAAAACAACAGCCTTACAGGGTAGAGCACCAGGTGAAAATAAAATAAAGTTTAAAAAAGTAAACAAATGCAGCCATCACATTTTAAAGTGGTAGTAAACCATTTAGGAGATATTCTAGTGAGTGGCAGCAGTTGATCTCACCAGCGCATGCTCTCTGAAGGAACGGCATCCCCGTGCCGTTCCATCAGAGCTGTGTGCCGCGCATGCGCTCGGGAATGATGTCATCGTGGTTCCGCCAGTCAAGCGACCGCAGCCCGTGAACCGGGAAGGAAGACCAGGTGAGATAGCACTGTTGGAGGACTTCGTTTAAAGGTAAGTCTTTCATAATGTGCTAGTATGTGATACATAGTAGCACATTATAACATTGCCTTGCAGGGAGAGTTTTGTTTTTTTTTCCCTCAAGTTTACTACTGCTTTAAGAAGGCCTGGACTGCCCATAGGGCATAAGGGCATTTGCCTGATGGGCCGGGACCACCAGGCAGGGCTGAAACTCCAAGATCTCTGCTGTATCCCCTCAGCTCGGGGAAGGAGAAAGGAGTGAAGCAGAGACAGACAGCTCTGGTGTCCCAGAGCCAGGGGTAGACTGGGTCAGGGGACATGAGGCCAAACTGTGGCTCCCCAGTGGCTGCAGGGCTCTGACATGAGAGAGTCTCTTTCTCACAGCTCAGAACCAGGACTGAAAGTTCCTCTGCCCCCCCCCCCCACCCCCACCAGCACAGATGGGAGAAGAGAAAGTGAGCAAGTTCTGGTCCTTCTCCTCCTCTTGCCCTCTCCTTCTGTGTCCCCAGCACAGAAAGAGAAAGAGCTGTGTGGGTGGGAAGTTTAAATTCCAGCAACCAGAAGAGGAAAGGTGCAGCCTGCCGATCCATCCATCCATCCACTGTCAATGAAGTCCCTCTCCCTTCTCTTTCCTATCTCCCGATGAGTACTCTTTCTTTCTTTCTTTCTTTCTTTCTTTCTCTTTTTTTTTATCTTCATCTTTCTCGTTGAAGTTGCAGCAGCAGCAAGCAGACATTGTCCAGCCAAGCCTGCCTGGTGAGCAGATAGTACCTGGAGTGGAGCTTCAGCCTGGAATGGGGGTTGGATGTTTTCACAGGGGGGAGTACAATGCAGGGGGTTACACTGGGGGGATTACATTGTAAGGATTACTCCAGGGGGATTACACGGTGAGGATTACACTGCAGGGATTTACACTGGGGTGATTTACATCAGGGGATTTATGCTGGGTGGCATTACACTGGGGGGGGATTACACTGTTACACTCTGGGAATTTACAGTGGGAGGATTACAGTGCAGTGGATTTACACTTGGGCTATTACATTGGGCTGCTCAGTCTAAAATGCCTGGGCCTATTTTTTGTCCCAGTCCGGGCCTGTGTTTAGGAACTTGTAAACTGCTGGGTGCCACTATCAGAATACAATGTTTGGGTGGGGGGATTACTCCATCAACCTTGTTTATATGGATGGAAGAATCCATAGGAATCCCACTGGCTGAACAAAAAAAACTTTTTATGGCCAGCTTTTTATGGCCAGCTTTATTCACTCACACCCATCTGTTTCACTGCACTCAGTGCTGCACATCCCTTCCAATCCTTCCATGTATTTCTCCATTCTATCAACCCTTGTTTGTTGTACACCGCTCCTTTCTTTCAGCCCTGTTACTGGGAATGCACAGTCTTTCCAGTCCTCCTCTGTTCAGCTCCACACCTCTCCTTCCATTATTTCACTCATCCTTGTACACCTTTCCCAGCTCCTATGTATGATTATCGACCAAATTCAATTGGGTTTAAAATTTCATACATTTATTGTGCCATATTTTCTACATTTGAAGCTCTTCACTTTATTTACCTCTCCTCTGATTTGCTACTGTCACATCAACCTAGTACTTTGTTACAGATTACTCTCCCTCTCTACTGGGTGCCACAATCTACTTTGTATTGCTTTTACTATCCCATTTTAGATTATATTGTCCCTATTACCTCTACACAATTCTTTTTTCCTTCTTCCATCAGACTAACCCCCTTTCACTATTTTCTAGTCCAAGCCTTTCTTTTCTCTTTCCCCATCGGCACAGCATTTCTCCACAGCCCTGTCACTTCCCTCCCATCCCATCTATCTACACAGTATACTCATCTATTCCTGTCAATTCACATAATCCTTACCACAGTACATTCTGTGATTTTAACCATTAGTTCTAACATGTAATTTTATGCTCCACAGCACGAATACAGCCTCTATTCACGTTATAGATAGCATTTCTTCCTGATTCTATTATAAATTGTTGTTTAAGGTTAGTTCAGTGATTTTTTTTTCTTCCCACAAACACTGATGGAGTGTGACACCATAGAAGAAGGGATGCTTTTTCTTCTAGTGACACCATCGACACAGGGGGATTTTTTTTCTCCACATTGGTGCTGGTGCATTTTTTCCATCTCCACTGTTAGCCTCATATTTTAATGTGAGACAGTAGGGTTGATTTACTAAAACAGGAGAGTGCAAAATATGGTGCAGCTGTGCATGGTAGCCAATCAGCTTCTAACTTCAGCTTGTTCAATTAATTTTTGAGAAAAAAACCTGGAAGCTGATTAGTTTCTATGCAAAGCTGCACCAGATTTTGCACTCTCCAGTTTTAGTAAATCAACATCATTATGTACAAAACTATTCATTTTGCTGTGCTGTGCCATAATCAATGGCATTGTTTGGGCCTGATATTAGGGGCTCACTATTACCCCTCTCCCATATCTGCCCTCCCCCTTTCGTAGGCGCACTCATTTCCAAAGGTTTGCAGGTATGCTAGTCACTGGTCACACTGCACTATGGTGCCTGACCTGTCAGCATGTACTGATAGGCATTGTCAGAGATGGAAAAGATATGAGGTGGAGCTTCAGTCCTCTTCTTCCCACGGTACGCAGCCACAACCTCTGCATTGTACACAGGAAGCCACTTGTAGGGGTTCACCGTCACACAGAAGAGTCCTGAGTAAGTCTGGAAAGACCAAGAATAATACATGTATTCATTTTCCTGGTGAACGGCCAGGTACATTAGTTCCATTAGTAGATCCTATTGCAAGTTCCACACATTACACAATAACAATAAAATGACAACGTAATAGAATCAGAAGATAGACCTATATACAGCAAAAATCAGCAATGGAAGGTTAGGAATACTTTTTTGTAGGCAATTTCAGATCTATAGAGGGATCACAGATATTCAATGACAGCTATAAAGAGAAATATATAGCCACAATGTAAACTAATTATAATGTAGGTCTAGTTTCAATAATTGGCACTCACATAGATCATCCAGGCTGCGTAACGCTCTTTGAGGTTGTACAGCACAGCTGGTTCATTCAGAAAGGTCAGCATAGCCATGTCTTCAATTTTATCAAACTTGGGTGGGTTCTGCTGCATCACTAGGTTGTCTTTAACAGTGATGTTCTACAATAAAGACATGTTTGAATAATGTTCCATATGGCAAAAACGTTCAATCAATCCAGATAAAACCCATATATTGTTCTCACCTTGCCATGTTCTGTCTCCGCTGTAACCTTTTCCCCTTCACGACTGGTGAGCTTGGCTTTCACATACTCCTCTTTATCATCAGGGACAAATATATCCTTCTTCATATCAAAAATACGGGTCTGAGCCTCCAGGCGCTCTTTGTCTGACTTTCTCAAATAGGGGGCTGCTGCCCCAAACTCTGCCATTTCAGCATCACCCATGGTCGTGCTACAATAGAAGAAAAATCTAAAAAGTCCAAATTTTGCATCATGGAAAATGACAACATTTAATTAACCCATTGTTTAATAAAGAGCTGTAAAAATACAGAATATTATTAGTTTTAGGTGACCATTTCTTAGGAGAATCATTGGCTGACTTCTTATATCTTCGAGAAACCACATGTAAGACATAAGTACCATAAGTCATATCTCTGTTCCCGCCCATAACAATAAAATAAAGATGTCATTCTCTTGTAGTAGGATTCCTCAGCTGTTTATCCTTCATTATAGAGAATCCTTTAACTGAGTCATCACCATTTTGGCCTCAGCCATTGCGAAGAACTTGGAATTTGGATGTGGGATAATTCACCAACAGTGTCCTTCATAAATATGAGAGGCCAGCATGTGATTTAACTTATTATCAATCACACACAACTGAAATATCAGTTTTTTGTGTGATGTTGGTTTTACAGGACAGCTAAAGTCCCTTATTTTTTTAGGTATATAGTGCCTTGTATTCAAACCCCTTGAAATTTTCCACATTTTGTCATGTTAGAACCAAAAATGTAAATGTATGTTATTGTATATGTATATTATTTAAGCATTATTATGTAGGATCTACATGTAGCTAGGTGCTGTCTTTATCATTATACCATTCAGGGACATTTATAGATGAGACTATGGTTACTCCTTTTTCCCCCTAGTGCCCAGTACTGGAACTGCTACATCACTTCAAATTAGCAGATTGGATTCAGTTTTTCTGACAGCAGAGGATCTTGGGACCTGTAGTCTTATAACCAATACAGCCTGCATTCATGATTGCTGATTGAATTACAACTACCAGAGAGCTGGGGAATGAGAAGAATGCTAGGAAATCAGATACTGTGTATGTAAAAGGTACCAGCCCATTGTTGATAAAATAATCAGTGCTCTTAATATTTTGTATGTTTATTATTTACAGATTTTAATGATGTATGTATTTGGAGGCCTTATACTGTATTTGCTCACTACATAAGCAGAATGTTTAGCAGTGCTGTACAATGGTTGTACCTCGACCTTGAATGTAGTAATGAAAATGATACAGTAAAAATGTGCAGGTCATGCAAAATAGATTGCAGGTAGTCACTTTTAGGGGCCATGCATGCTAGGGGCAGAAAAAAAATGCCACAACCTCTGGCAGAAAAAATGCTCATAGTGGCTTGTATTGCTCAAGAGTCTATGAGAGTTTATGGGCATTCACTTTTATAAGTGTTTTATTCCAGAACTTTCCTCTCTGCTCATTTTTCACACTGGAAAACACTGAACACTTCTAAAAACATTTAGGTGTGCTTTTTTGAACGTGTAGCATTTTTTTATGCCCAACAGCTCCTCCCAAAGACGCCATTCTGAGGGGTTTTTTTGTCTGCCTCTAAACACTCCTACAAAAATATGCCTTTAAACTCCCTAATGTGCATGGACACATAGGCTAACATAGAGCTACTTCTAAAAGCTGAAGAAAAAAAAAAAATGCAAAACACCTGTATAAGCAGCATTTTTTATGCCCAGTGAACTTGGACCCTTACACAAACATAAAATACATGTATGTGAATTATTTAATGTTCCTGTAAATATTAAATTCTGTACAGCCATTCTTGTGATTTACAGAATCTTGCCAGACTGAAAGGCTTCACTTTTCTGTGTTTCAGATAAAGCAACATAATTGAAAAAAAAAGTGTTCTAATAACTGTATGCAGTTAATATAATAATGTTATTATAGAAGAAAAAATTACCCAAGGGATTTTGCGAGGCACACTAAATTATGGTAACAGAAATCACACTATTTATCATAGTTGTTAGAAAAAAGATATATTAAAATTGTTTATACACAAAGTCCATACACATTGAACACCAGGTTTGTAACATGTATACAAGTAAAAATGCTAAATCTACATGAATTACATGGCACAAGCTCTCTACACAACATCTCAATGCGTTTCGTGAAGCAGCATTCACTTGTTCAGGACACAACAAGGCTTGTTGGTATGCTATGGAATGGTATCTGAGCAGAGACAAGGTTGTTATAATTAAGGAAAAAAGTTTTTTTCTCCTTTTTTTTTTTTGTTCCTTCAACAACTATAATAAAAAAGGTGATTTTTTTAAAACCATAATTTAGTGTGCCTTGCAAAGTCCCTTGGGCAATATTTTCTTCTATAATTACCAGTGTATTGGGGGCTGAGCCACACTTATCCTTGCTCACCACGGCCTCATACCTTTCATTACTATAATAATGTTAGTATTCATCATATGGATTTCTATTCTATTGTTGTTTCACATGCCATTAGTTCTACTTTTCTCATTTACTTGCAGTAAAAGCTGCCAAGCAAAAGTAACAGTGACAGGTGCTAGTACAAACAATAACACTGTCAGGGGTGCTTGAGTAATTGCATCTTTAGTTCTTTTTTTAAAGCATATTCAAATCTTGGGAATAAAAAGTGACTATTTAAGCCCCTAAAGCAGTGCTATACTCTGTCATTCTCTAACATTGTAATTTTGTTGATCATTTTGTTTTTTTGTGTGCTATAGTGATCGTGTAAGCAATACAACTTTGTCACCTTCCTATTGTCAGCTAGCTGATTGACAGTGAGCATCATTCTGCTGTCTGGTTGGTCTACACAGTCAATTGTCCCTTTCACATTCTAAGGCTAGGTTCACACCTATGCAGTTTGCGTTTGATCTGTTTCTGCAGTGCATTTTGTGTTTTTTTTGCACATGCGTTTTTACTGCGTTTTTTATGTGTTTTGCATTTTTATTCTTGTTGCTAGGCAGATTTAAAACACAAAATATATCAAGAATGCATAAAAAACATATCAAAAACGCATCACAAACGCAACAAAACAGCACTACATGCTTTTCTGCACCATTTCCATTGAAGTTTATAGAACTGTATGTAAAGTGCTGCGTAAATTGACAGCGCTATATAAGTACCTGAAATAAATAAAAACCAAAAATGCAACTTTTTGCATTTAAAAAAGTCCCTGACCCTTTCCAAAAAAAAGCACCGGGTAAAAACACGTAGATATGAACCTGTCACATAGGAAATCATGTTAAATGGACTGTAGTGTGTTTCTGAAAAACGCAACAGAAAATGCATAGATGTGAACCTAGCCTAAGTCCTGCTGTGCAGTGGAACTTCATATGCTGAAAAGATTTAAAAACAGACTGTAGTTTTACTCTGGCTTCAAATATTTTTTCATTTTTCATACATAATTGTGTTTTTTTATATCTGCCTGGTGTTCAACTTTAAAGAAACCCTGTCAGTCAGATACACAAAATCCATCTGACTCTTCAACTTTCCATAATTCTGGGAGTATCTGATGTCTGTGTTTTCCGCAGTATGCTATGGTTACGTCCTGTGACCCATTTGTCACTGCTGTGTCCTAAAGTGATGTCGGGGTTGAAGGATGGCCCTAGAGCATGCAGCAAGGGGGCAAGGACAATGGACACTCCCGGAATGGTCGAATGCTGAAGAATCCGACAGAAGCTGCAGTGCAGGGAAACTAGTGAAACATGGGGGCTGATTTACTAAAGTCAAATAGACTTTGTAAAGTGCAGTTGCACTCTGCTAGAGCATTTGCTCCAGAACTAAGTAAATGAGCAGAAGTTCTACTGACTTCCATCATCCAATCATGTGCAAGCAAAAATGCTGTTTTTTTTATTTTCCTTGCATGTGCTTGGGGATTGTTTGCAAAGTGAAAATCTTACTTAACCCAGGACCCTGCATTCACTATATCTGGTCTCCCACAGTAAACACAACATGGAAATGCAATTATTTTAGTAAATATAAACTGCTAAATATCTTTTCTCATCAGCAGTTAGAGCTGTCTTGTGACTTCAGCAGAGCACTGGTTAAAGCTTGTAGGAGGAGTTTTCTTTCTGCTCTATTAGGATGCAAAACCCCCTGACCCTCTGTCTGGGCAGTGCAGATTGCCCTGTGCACCCTCCCAAGGAAAAAAAAAACCTCTCTAGCAATACACACTAAACTGAGCGTGTGCAGAAGGGCTACGGGTTCAGTCTGTTTTATCAGCGTGGACATTTGAACAAGAGGAGGGGCAGAGAAGTCAGGATCGAACAGCCTTTTTCCACAATGCTGAGGATTAACCCCTTAGGTTCCACAGTGAGTGTTACAAGCATGCTTTATTGCATATACAGACTGATTTTACTGTTGTGGGTTTAGGAAAACTTGAAGCATTACCTCATTTACTAAGCTCTGGAGAGACTGCACTTTCAGAATGCAACTGCACTTTGCAAAGTGCAAAGTCTATTTGCCTTTAGTAAATCAACCCCATAGGCTGCCAGAGATGCAAGTACAACATTTCTTCTACAACAATAAACTTCCAGTTAGATTTTGATGTGGTACTGACAGGGTTACTTTTCTTTACCATTATTTTTATTTATAAGTTTTAGTGGTTGACAAGAAAATGAACTTTACAGATATACATTTCACATCCAAACTACTATATCTAAAAAAAAATGGAGACCGCAAATTTTGTTAGTAATACTCAACACATTGGGGCTGATTTACTAAAACTGGAGAGTGCAATATCTGATGCAGCTCTGCATAGAAACCAATCAGCTTCCAGGTTTTATTGCCAAAGCTTCATCAAACAAGCTGAAGTTAGAAGCTGATTGGCTACCATGTACAGCTGCACCAGATTTTGCACTCTCCAGTTTTAGTAAATCAACACCTAAATATTTAGACAGGGTCATTTTAAGGTAAACTTAATCATACTGCATCAAAATATGTGTTCACTGAAAATATGCTAATACAGAACATTTTCCATTGAAAAAAAAAAAGATGGATCCGTCCACAAAAAAAAAAAAAACATTGATCATGTCATATTATTTTAATGAATTCTACTTTAAATGTTTCTACCTTAACATCAGGTTTGCTAGTATGCATTGATTAAAATATAGTGGGCAATGCCCAATTAAACCACAAGAGTACTAGAATCAATATGTCGTCC